ATCAATTACCAGATGTCATTGGAAAGTACCATCAAGATCCAAACGCCCAAACAGAGTGCCAGGTCGCCCACTTGGATGCACTCGCTCCCTGTGTGGGCATCCAGCAAATGCAGAGAAAAACGAACAATTATGCAAAGCATTCTCGTATGTCTGTATATACTTCTTAAGTTAGATGTTCAAGTAGTGCATAGGAATAGGTGTTCAGCCCGTGAGGAAACCGCGAGGTGTCCGCAGAGGAGACAGGCTTCGCAGGTTGCAGGCCACACGGAGATTGGGCAGATTCTGGGGATTGCGACAGAAGCGATCCCAGCCCTTCCAGTACTTGAAGCCCTCACGTTCCTGGATCATTCTGGCACACGCGATGTCGTCGCCTATGTCGTCATTGGAAAAGTCTGGAAAAAAGATCATTTATGAATTTGGAATTACACCCAAAAAAATTGATATGAATTGATTTAACGTTAGATGGTACCAATTTTGACTTGAAAAGCTCGAAATGCTTTAGGATTGGATAACGTTTTAATCTTAACTTAAAAACTAGAAGAATTAATAACACATTGTTAAACAAATTTGATTTTTTTTATGAAGAGCATTAAATGCCTCCGTCTAAACTTGTTTAATAAAATCTAGACTTTAAACACCCACGTTATTGGATAAATTTAAGAAATCTAATAAAGTAAACGGAATTGGATTTAGACTTCCTAATGAATGTTGTATTTTTAACGTAATTAAATGCTGCATATATTATTTACTTTACTGTCCATTAGTAAAGTCTTTTCTCAAAGAATAGCTATTTTGAACTCACCTTCACATTTCATATTGCACTGCCCTCCTTTTCGTCCCTCGGAGCAATAATCTCTGCTGTTGATCTGGAACAGACCATAGTTCTTGCTTTCGTTCTCCTTTTTCGTTATCTTTCTGGTGTCCAAATAACTCTCGTGCTCCACCAGGCAGATCCCTGTTTATAATATGGTTAGTAAAATACTTTTAACAGTGACTTTTAATTTACTTACAATTGGAAATAAAAGTTTTGTCAAAGTTGTAGTTCTCAACCAGCACTCGGGTGAGTTCGCATCGCTGATATTTCTTGGATTCCACTTGCCTAGATCCCACCTGCAGCAGGATCAGCACCGGTATTAGCCACATACATACAGCTTTCATTTTAAGCTGATCTAAAAGTAGAAGACCCATAATATAGATTGTAGGGTGCTCAGCAAAGTGCGATCCTCATTATTTATGGACTTACTTAACCATTCACCTAAAAAGTTCACAGAGTTCTGCTTTGCGCATAATTTCTTTATTCTTCTATATGCACTTCCCCATTTGACAGCTATAACACCTGTTTTGAGTTTGATTAATATATACTACCTAAGTTCGCTTCGTTGACCATCTTTGAAAGTGCTAAAAAACTGCTGAATACTTTTTAGAGAATATTCTTTTGCAGCTTCCTTGCTTTTCACAGTTTCGCATGACATTTCTTCTTTTTAACACCAAGCAAGAAACTCGGAATTCTGGTTAAGAATTAACTGACTAGCAAATTACCATTCTTTCTGGCTTTGTTGACTCCCACACGTTTCAGCGGCCTTGTATCAGTCTTCTTTTCAAATCTTTGTATATCATTATCAGTGTACTTTTCCTATCTAAAGATATGTCCATCATGTCTGAGTAAGTTCTTAAAAGTAAAGCTATATTTCGTATTCATAATTCACAGAAGACGTTTTTAACAAGACAATATTCGTTTTCAGGTATTATTCGATTTATGGCACAATCTATTTTTATAAATGTGTGTTTTTATAGTGTTAACATTTTACTTTAACGTCATAAACAATGTTAATAAAGTACTATATTCAAGTTGAGTAAAACGCCTAGTTGATTACGTGTAATCAAGCCATTAAAACGAGAGAATTTATGACTTTTATTTAAAGTAAGCGTATCATTTGTATGTAAATAATAAAAGGCATGATATATCCACCAACAAATGTACTTTTCAAGGTTACCGCAAACTAAATAACAAACACAAAATACAAATTCATGTTTTGGGGATTCGTTCTGAACATATTATTAAGTATACGCACTGTTCACGTTTCACTTTTTATTCGAGATTTGCATGCAAGCGAATGTAATTATGAGATTGAGTTCCTTCCTCTGGCAGAACACTTTTACCTGAGCAAATTGTTTGTTTACTTTGTTTACCTAACATTAACGCAGAACAACAGCGATCTCGGAAGCAGCAGGAAACGAGTTTACTGAGGGCCTGAGAGACTGGAACTCCGACTATCTGTATCTTCTTGCCGCGTTTCGTGGGTTTCGTTTTGGCGATGGCGTGCTTTCAAATACATATGATTTGTACACCCGATCGGATCCGATGAGAAGCTAGCCCGCCGGTGCGACGCTGCTGACCCGAGTTTAAGTACTGAACGCCCAAGTATTTCTCAGATCCAATTGCGCCTCATTTTGCTTTCGCGTAGAGGTAAATTCTCTCCCAAAACGCCGATCGCCGAGCACAAAACCATTAAAAATTTGCTCGCCTTGCTGATAAAGCTGATAAGGTGCTCGGTTGTCACGGTTGACTTACTCTACCTGAACTCTCTGACAAATCAGATGATTTTGGGGGAATTTGGAGAGGGGGAGGCAAGAAGAGACTTCCCGAGCTTGGGTGGCTCTGTAAGTCTCGTAATAATTATAAATGAAAGTATTGTGGAATTCAATCGAATAAGACAGAGTTCAATGATCTTATATTATCATATTTATTAACTTTATTGTAATATCAGGGAATAAACATATTTCATTTTAATTTCGCAAGAACTTTGTTGTTTCACCTTGTGGTTATTAGGGTTATCAAACCAAGCGAAAGTAATTCCCGAAAATAGCTATACTAAATAACAGACAATTTGTTTATTATGGCATTCTTTTAATTATTTCTGTCTTTATTAGCAAAATGTATAACTGAAAAATCTCTACCCAAAGCAGATTATATTTCAGATTAACCGTACTTATCGATGGTTTTTCTGAGAAACCTTTAAAAATAAATACTACATATGAAATGTTTGCTTTGCCAAAGGTGAATGATTAGCATTCGGGAAAACCCACTAGGATTGCGATAGCATCCCAATTGCAGCTGATAGAGGGAAAATACTGCACATATTTTAATCACGCGAATCGAAAAATAAATACACGTTTTTTTTCAGACACAGTAACTTAAGCTTTATATGATGATTTAGTAGCTATGCATAGAGTTAGTTAAGGCTAAGATCGAGTAGAAAGGCAGTCCTAGCAGCGCGAAACATCGGGAAGCGTGCGCCCACGACATTTGCTCATCCATCCGGGCCAGGCCTGAAATCCGTGGCGGTTGAAGATCTGCATGGCACAGCGTGAGTCATCCGAGATCTCATCGTTGAGGAACTCTGCAAACCGAGCGAAAGGGGCTCAAAGTTATCTTGGTTTTTTTAGGTGGGCGTTTTGGGGAATGTGGCCTTACCTTCACATTTGATGTTGCAGATTCCCCCACGACGACCTTTGCGACACCAGTTTTTGCTGTTGATCTGTGAAGTGTTGGATTAGCATGGAGTGGTCCCAGAAATAGTAGATAAGGAACTTGGGTTAACCCACCTGGAAGAGTCCATAGCTGACGCTCTGGTTGGGCAGTTGCATAGATTTTGATGTACTGCGTCCACTCTCGGCTTCCACCAGACAAACCCCTTATAAAAATAACGAAAGGTGCTTTTTTATAGACCTGAATCTAATTGAATGTGCTCGTTTGCTTAAATTTACATTTTTTTTCTAATCAAAAAATAAGTATAACACTTGACTTTTTATTGCCCATAAAACTTTATTTACTTTCTACTACAATACAGTGATTTAAAAAAATAAAATTAATTTAAACTTGAATAATCAAATCATCTTGACATAAAAATCTTTAAAACAATTCATATATTCAGAAATAAATCGAAGTATAAACTAAAACCTAAGTCCTAAAAAACTATTCTAGTTAAACATTATTTATTTTGGATATATTGTTGCATTCAGCTTTGAATCACTTTAATAAATTTACGAAATTGTTTCCTCAAATCTTTCACTAACTGCTTCTTTGTATATCTCCAATATTAAGATGGTTATGTTGGTTAACTATACTTACAATTGGACAGATAACTGCGGGGAAAGTCGTGACGCAACAGCTCCTTGGCCAACTGGCAACGTGTCAGCAGCTTGGACTCTGTCTCCCACTGCGAAAGCAGGAGAAGATTGAGAACCAGGACGAGGGCACCACCCTTGGGCAAGTGACTGGCCATTTCGTTGTGGAGGTATAGACTGGGACCACTGCTAATCCTTTGGTCTGGAGTGAATTTCCAGGGCGCTTCCCTCCGCGGCAACTGCGAGTACTGGGCACTTTGCTGCGGAATTATTTCAACGGCACTGGATGCGTAGCGCCCGAAATCCGGGTTTTTAAAGCCTCGCACGCAGCTATTGTTTTCTTCTGGAAGTGGGAGGCGACACTCGGGAGCGGTCTGGTGATATGGAAAAAATGTGCGGGTTACTCACAACTATTGAGCTATTGTCTTAGTGGGGATTTTTTTTTAAATTACCCCTAGCTAATTCTAGGGATTACGGGTATCTCTGAACAAAAGATGCATAATATATTTTTTGAGTATTAAAGATTACGATAAAACTCCCTAGATTATCTCTCAGTGCATTCAATAAATCGCTTTGATTGCGTTAAGCTCTAAATTGGCAAATTGTCTTGCAGAGATAACAATGGGAATCTTTAGACCGAAACGCATCCACATCCACTGGATGCTGGACACAGATGCACTGTGTGGGTGTTTGTGTGTCAGAGTGTCAGTGACAACTGCGGCTTGACCTAAAAACGCATGATCTGATGATGTGCGAGGAGCGGGGATTGGGAAGTGCCGGTGCAAGTGCCACTGCATCCCTCCCAGCTTCCAAGTGTTTTCGCTTTTCAATGATCGTCCGACTAATTTCCATGAAAATTTTTCCATTTACAGCCCAATTCTCATGCTCTCGTTGCTGTGCGCGATGGCAGCGGCCAATGACCTCAAGGATCTGCTAGAGGACAGCACCACAACGACCACCACTAGCACCACCCCCTCCCCATATTCCTCCTCCTCGCCCACCACGCCCACCGCCTATGTGGTGTCCGCAGCCGCAGTTCCCGCCCCCGTTTCCAGCAGGTCAAAGTCCAAGTCGCCAGCCGGAAAATATGTCAACAAGAGCGCTCCGAGGAAACGCAAGGCGGAGCAGGTGTCCTCTTTGCCGCTACCCGTGGACGATGGCCTCATGGAGTGGAAGTGCCCCAATATCACTGGCACTCGGAACGCGGAACTCGAGTGCGGTTGCGATTTGCCCCACACACTGCGGTGCAACATTGATCTGCACGGAATGTTGGTAAGGCAATTTTTGGAAAATATTAGTTTTAAAATTTTCTAGTTCTAGAATAAAATAAAAATAAACCGACATTGAATATCCGATAATTAAATCATCTCAGATGCATCTCGATGCAGTCAATAGCTATAAAAAAATTTAGAAACCTTTAAATATTAACAATATTTAAATCTTCAACTTTGACCCCGACGTGATTTGAACACGCAACCTTCTGATCTGGAGTCAGACGCGCTACCGTTGCGCCACGGAGTCTTGTTTTGATACTATTGGGTTTTGAGCTAATATATTACTAAAGTTTAATAATAAATCAAAAATCTTTTAAAAGTACTGATAAGATTAGTGCATTTAGCTTTGATACCGTGTTTCCCATCCGGCTAGTCTTATTAATAAATACAAAAAAGTAAAACCATACATTTGTATATTGTATCTACATTTTGTTACCTACAGGGTTTTCAACATAAAGGACATTCATTCTGGAACCAGCAAAAGTCAAAAACCAGCAAAAAAAAATTTTTATTAACGAATAAGATTTAGTTATTTACATAAATATGCCATTAGGAAATATAATGTATACATATCAGCACTTTATAAAAAATGATTTAATATCCAAAGATAAAGATCTGTAATTAAATCTTCACATTTGACCCCGACGTGATTTGAACACGCAACCTTCTGATCTGGAGTCAGACGCGCTACCGTTGCGCCACGGAGTCTTTTAAAGATTGCATTGCATATTTGTGATAATCAATTGGTAACCTCATAAAATAATTGAAAAAAAAATGTTTTTATAAATATTGATAAGATGGGTGCACTAATTAATAAAACAAAACAAATCAAAAAACACTACTGATAAATATTATCTAAACCTAAATAATTCATTGATCTATTTCTGTTACTTTAATCTTTACAGCTCCTTGCGGACAGACTTCGCACCTCTCCCTACTCGATCTCCTTGCTGGACTGTTCCCTGCGCAACGTAACTTTCCTGAGCGACGCCAAGATCTTCGATGGCGTTTCGCTGCATGGCTTGGTAATCTCCTCGGGCGAGATTAAGCGGGTCCACAAGTCCGCCTTCCTGGGAATCCGAGGACCTTTGCAGGCACTCGGGCTGCCGGGCAACGCACTGATGAGCGTGCCCTGGAACGCTTTGTCTACGCTGGGCGCCTTGGAGCGCCTGGACTTGGCCAACAACAAGATCAAGGCATTGGGCACCGCCGACTTTGTGGGTCTGACCAGCCTGGTTTATCTGGAGCTGAGCAACAACCAAATCTCGAGCATTTCCCAGCGCACATTCGGTAATCTTAGAAAGCTGGAGGTCCTGAAGCTGGGCGGGAATAGGTTGGGGGACTATGCCCAAAGCCTGAGGTCCCTGAGCCAGTGCTTCAGTCTGCGGCAATTGGATCTGCAGGCCAACAACCTGAATGGACCGCTGAGTGAGCAGACTCTGCCTGGCATGAGGAATCTCGAGAGCTTGAATCTCAATCGGAATCTGATCAAGAGCATCCAGAACAAGGCCTTGGCCAATTTCTCCCGGCTGGTGAGTCTCTCGCTGCGCCACAACCAGATCGATGTCCTGCAGGATCACGCCTTCTTCGGTTTGGGGGCACTGGACAGCTTGGATCTGAGCTACAACGGCATCGTGGCCATCTCCAGTGCCTCGCTGCAGCATTTGTCCCGTTTGACCGTGCTGGATCTCACACATAACTTCCTGCGAGCCCTAACCTCGGACTTGATAGCACCGCTACCATCTCTCAGGGAGCTGCGATTGGCGGGCAACGACATCTCCATTGTGGCCCGCAATGCAATGGACGGGGCACGGGAACTGGAGAGCCTGCAGATGCAGGAGAATCCTCTCTCTTGCGACTGCAGCATCCGGCCATTCGCCGAGTGGCTGCAGGAGTCCCAGCTGCATTCCAGCCTGAGTGCCTCCTGTGTGACGCCGCCCAGGCTGGAGGGAGCTCCACTTCTGCAGGTTCCCGTGGAGACGCTCAGCTGCGACATGGACAACGTGGAGAAGGATAACAACAACATCATGCAGCACCTGGAGACACTGGCTAAACCAAATCAGACGTCGCCCATCAAGGATCTGTCCGAGGAGGTGAGTGTTGTTCTTTATAATACTATCTTAGTTGTTAAATTTCCATTTCGTTTATACGAAAACAAAATTTAGCTTTGCTCAAAAAAATGTAATCAAGGAGGTACCTTTTTATTTAAAAGTAATATTTATAAAAAGTTTTAATGGTACCATTCATAATTTCAAAACATTTCTTATCATTATTACCCTAATAATCGTTACTTTTTTGTTGCTTACCACTTTTTGGCACTTTGGATAGTTCTTAACTAAAGCATCATAAAGTTTTAAAATTTTCAAAGCTAAGTCCCCGACAAATGCAGTGACTAAGTAATTTAAGTTGTTCACTTGTTTATGGACCGATGAATATTAACTTGAGTTGTATACTTTTCAGAAATCATTACCTGTATAAATAGAAAAATACAAGATTATAAATGCAAATCTTTATCCATAGATTATTCTACACGAACTGCACTTTTCGGCTGACTATGGCCTGATCCTCACCTGGCTCCTGAATCTCAGCAAAAAGGACTATATGTGCGATGCAATCTTTGTCTACAAGGAGGAGCACATAAACGAAATTCTCATAGACAACTCACCGGTAAGGAGTGGGAATAAACGAAACGTATTGTACATTGTTCTGATAACCTTATACCTTATAGATCCATTGCGAGAGTAAAGTGGTCAATGGTCAGAACACAGTGAGTGTCATAGTGCCCGATAGTTCATCACTGGAAATAGGCGAAAGGTGAGATGGCCACCATTTAATCAGATTATTTGATTAAATAACTAACGTTCTACATTTCCCTTTGCAGCTATCGCTTTTGTCTGGTCATGATCCAAGAGAAGAAACCAGAGGCGGAACTGAACATCGGCTGCTCCAATATCACCCAGCTGGAGAGGAGCAGTCCGGGCTCCGTTCCCGTGTCGCGTCAGTACCAGCGACGTCCCTACTACACCGCCAATGAGCTGAAACCGGAAGCGGTCCACGAGGCTGGCGAGGATTACCAGCTGAATCAGCGTCGCTTCACTTCAGTGGTCGGAAGTCAACCGCAACAGACTCAGCAGTCGACTTTGCTGCACAGCTACACGGTGATTGATTCTCTGAACAAGAGCTTCTTGCCGGGATTGGGCCTTGGAGTGCTGGTCACCTCCGTGCTGGTCCTCATCTGGGGAGCCACGAGGATTCGGCAGGCCAATGGAACCAATGGCAATGGAGGCGATAGTATTGGCAGCAACAGCAGCAGCGGCAGCATGCAGAACAACAATAATAACAGCAGGCCGGGCACTCCAACGGCCACCACTTGCTACGCCGCCTCGGATCACATAGCCCGCCTGGCGGATGCGGAGAATGGGACGCGCTACCTCAAGCTGCAGGCCACGACGAGCTTGTGAGGCAGCCGAAGCCACCAGCAGCAGCAGGATGTTGCTCCTGCCCACTCAATAAACCATGTGATAGTACGGTTCCGACTGTACCGACTTGAGTAGTTGTAAACGATATACATACGTAGCCTTAAGGTCCACTGCACTAATCCAAATAGTTGGCCCTCACTAACCCACTTGTGCCATAAGCTAATCGATACGTATCCCGAAACTCCCATATATCCCACGAAAATATACAGTTGCGGTCAAAGGAATATTTAAAAAAAATCTTCCAAAATCAGAACGGGAATTCCTAAAAATCTACAAAAAATGTATTAGTCCATTTGAATGAAAATATTAATATTTTAACTTGTAAAAGAATATATTTTTCGTAAAGCAAAAACCCTTCAATTTATAAAGCTAAACTCTTTGACCTCTTCTGTAAGCAATTCCTCGATTGGAGACGCCCTTTTGCTCCACAACTAGTGTTAACTTAGTTTACGCCTCCATTGTGTTAGGAATGGAACTCGTAAGTCATGACCCTTTAGAATTAAGGCTTTAATAATTTATTAACAAATTCCAAGCACACAATAGAAAAGAAAAACATAACATCGAGTAAATAAAAGTGAAAAGAAAAACAAAAGCCAGTTGCAATCGAATCGGAGCTCTAAGGTCAGTTGGGCAATTTTTGGGGGGGTCTATTTTTGGGCAGGTTAAAGCCAAAAGGCCGCATAATGCTAAGTGGGCTATTAACCCCACAACCATGACGTCGCCTTTTGGCACGAACATACATATGCGTAGTGGAGAGCCGTCAACCGAATTAGTTAATTTCTATTCAAATGAGCTCATAGCTCATGATTCCGAGGGGAATATGTACCCCCCACACGGAGCACTTATTTAGCCCCTTATCATTCATTGGTTAATTTATCGACATACATATGGGGAATTTTTAATGCTTATCCAGAAATCAAAGTTGACAAGCATAGAACTGGACTCTGAAAGCCCCCGTGCTCCGCCACTCTGGAAACCACCCACTTTCGTTCCACTGCGTTTCTGTTGTGGCCATCCGCTGATATGGCGACGGTCCCTCGGCAGAGCCGTTCCCACTTTCTGGCTGGCTGGCTGGCCAGTTGGGTTAGTTGTTCCGTGCCAGCCGTCGGGCGACAACAATGACCACTCGACGCCGCCAACGTGACAGCATTTATCGATTTTTGGCCCGTCCAGTGGAGCGCTAGGAGCAGTCTAGGAAAAGATCCAGCCTCTTAGACCCTTTGACCCCTTGGGTCGGATTAACGGCCTTCACATGAGCATGCTGGGATTTGTCTATCTGGTTCTCATCCTGGGCTGGATACTGATCGTCCTGTTTCTCAAGTGCAAGAAGTCCTTGGCCGCCCCCTTTCGCTTTGGCGAAAACTACACCGATGCCATCGCCGATACGGGTAGGGTGCTTCATTAACTAAGTGCTTTAAAATTGAATTATTATTCTAAATTTAATTCAAATTATTATACAAAAAGTGTAATCCCCTGACACCCATTAGATGAAGTGGCATGATAACAAAATACATACTAATGGCTATTTCTAGTTCATAACCCTCTTATCAGCTGGCTAAAATCAAAGTCGAATTAATATAATATGTTATATTATCAGAGCGACGTCCCTCAGTCCATGTGATTCAGCTGCAGCACGATGATGTGGAACGAGAAGATCACTACATGAACAACTTTCACCGAAACACGGAGAATCTGCAGCGATACTCGCATCGCTCGCAGCGATCCACCTTGGAGGAGCGGACAATCGAGAGGACATATCCCACGGATGCGGTGATAAATCCAGCCTATATGCACGATGAGGATTACGTGATCAACGGTGAGTTTACACCTTATACCTTTCTCTTTAACAATTATTAATTACCTAAATCTAAAGCCCCTCCACCATCCTACGAGGAGGTGATGCGCCAACCACAGGTGTATCCTCAGGTGCGCCACAACAACCACAAGATCAGCGATGCTGACATCTAGCCCACATATATCAATCTGGATTATAAAACTGTATATATGCGTACTTCGTCTTGGTCAACTGTGATTTACATATTTTAGTTGGACTTTTATTTCACTTGCACCTAAAAAACATAATCAATTCGATTGATTCCACTTAGGTGGCCTGCGCCCTCTTGCACTGCGAATAATAGTAGTTTTACATAAAAAATGTACAAAATGATTTTACATAGGTATGATTAATAGTTATGATTATGATTAATGATTACAAACAAACAGTCAGTCCACGTGTGCAGTTGTTACAGATTGTAATTGTAAATAAGTTAAGAGTGAAAAATACTAAATAAAATGTGTAAAAAAAATAAAACATTTTCCTTTGCATTCTTTTGGCTAAATTAAGTCGCTAAATTCGATATATGTATCGCGTACATATTGAGGATACATAAATGTGTTCCCACGTGGCTCAGTGCATTCACAGTTCTAATTACTTCAGTTGCGGCTCGTGCCTTTGGCAATTCTACGGCAGCACCTTGTGCACGCTGTGCATTTGTATGAAGGCCTCCAGTTGCGTGGGTATCAGACCCTTGAAGTTCAACCGATTGCTGGCGATGGTGCGGGCAGCCAGGCACTTGAGGCTGGTGTGGGCATTCTGATGGCCGTGCAGCCGATTGGCCAAGACAGCTGCAACGTGAAAGTGAATTAATAGGGTCAAGTGGAATCTAATTTAATAACTTACGCTGCTTGCAGGCCGTGGCCGCCGTTTGCCCGGCTGCATTAACCGCATCCAAGTGGGCTCCTGCCTCCACGAACAGCTGCAGAATGCGCGCCATCTCGCCCTGGCGATCCTGTGCTGTGTTCACCTTGGTCACTAGGATATGCAGCGGGGTGTTTCGAGCCGCATCTACGGCTACCACGGAAGCACCGCAGTGCACCAGGACCAGAGCAGTGGCGTAGCAGGGAAATCTAAGGTTTTAGTAAGGTTTTAATATCTCAATAACAACTATAAATCTGTGCCTCACCTGCACATCTCATTGGTGTAGAACTCATCCACCGGCATCACGCCATTGACTGCGATGTGCAGCAATGTCTGTCCGTCCTGCAGACGAGTGTCGTTTTGGATGAACTTGCGCACCACCAGGAACAGCTGCTGGATGTGCTCCTCGTCGATGTTCTGCTCCTGTTTGCGTCGCGCCAAATGGGTAACGATCTTGATCAGATACAGCGCCGTAATGCAGTTCTGATTGTTCTGATCCTGCCAGAGACTAGGGCAAGTGTTCGGCTTGGCCTCCTTGATCTTGAACTTGTTGTTCTCGATCTCCTGCTGGCACTTGGCCAAAACGGGCAGAACGTGATCCAAAGTAAGGTTGTGGTTCTCTACCCGCAGAATCTGAGCGAATAGCTGGGCAAAACGTAGCAGATCGCGATCCACCGAAACCTGGGAGAGATTAAACAAAGAATACAGTCTACATTTATATTATTTCAAGGTCATGCTCACATTATTGCGCATTCGCAGGTCTATGGCGTAGTTCCAAAGCACCTGGCACTGGTAGAATCTGCCCTGATCCGCCATCACAGCTCCCCGGTAGATGATTGCCTGCGGCAACTCTGGATTATTGCGACCCAGGATGCGTTCTCTGATGGCCAGCGATTCCATGTGGATGGAGTGGTGATTCAGTTTGATGGCATACAGTTCGGGCAGGTTTTCAGTCTCAAACCAATTGTCGTAGGCGGGCACCGTGGGCTGAACTCTCTTGCGGATCACGCCGCGAGGATTGCTGTACCGCAGCTGCATGGCTCTCAGCAGATAGCTGTAGGCCTTATTCACATCGTACTTGGTCTTGTCATTCGCATACGTGGCTCCCAAAAGCTCCAAGGCAGTGATATGCTCCTCTTGGCTCATCAGTCCTGGCCGCTGGATGAACGCCTCGAGTACATCCTCGTGGAGACGTTCGGCTGCCTGCAGGGCGGGTGTTATTCCTAGTTCATTCTTCTTGAGAGTGGCTCCATGGTCCAGCAGAGCCACCACCACATCCAGGTGGCCGCTCTCCGCGGCATAGTGCAAGGCAGTGGCTCCACACAGGGCCTGATCATTGGGCCGCGATCCGTTCTGCAGCAGGGTGTTCACCACCAAGTGGTGACCCTTGTAGGCGGCAATCATCAGTGTGTTGTTGTTGAACAAATTTGTGGCATTCACATCGGCTCCGTTGTCAATGAGGAATTCAACGATATCCAATCGACCTGTGCGAGGAATCTTATTAATATCATAATTAAATATTTAGGAGCTACACAGAAAATAAACCCGATCTGAAATAGGGTTATCATATCATAAAGATACCAAATTTAGTATTTTTTGAGCAAATAATATAAAAATAGATTAACATAATCTTTATTCATATCAAAATAATATGAATATCTTGATTATTACTACACAGAAAATAAACGCGATATGAAATAGGGTTATTCTACCTTATTTCATATAAATAAAAAGCCGATATGATTAATGTCAATTTTAAGATTCAAACATATCAACATGATATTTTATCATATCATAAAGATACCAAATTTAGTATTTTTTGAGCAAATAATATAAAAAAAGATTAACATAATCTTTATTCATATCAAAATAACATGAATAACTTGACCATTACCATTTTTTTTTCTGGGTAATTCCTAATATCATATCGATATATTCTTACCCTCATAGCAGGCAGCTCTCAGCGGCGACGACTGCGCCTTGGTATTGTGATTGATGGCCGCTCCCGCTTGGACGAGCATCTTGACAATCTGCAGATGCCCCATTCCGGCAGCCACCCACAGGGCGGTGGCTCCGTAGACCACCATTCCGTCGAAGATGACATTGCACTCCCGCTCCAAGTCCACGTCGTAGTGCGACAGCAGGGTCTTGACGAATTTCACATTGCCCGACATCGCGGCCATGGTTAGCGGGGTCAGCGATTGTCCATCTGGCTGATCGAAATTCTGGGGGATAGAAAATAGAACGTTAGAGAAAACTTATGATGTGCGTGCGCAGCCGTTTCACAGTCAAGGTTGGACGAAAATAGTGCGTCGTCGCATGTGATAAATGTAAGGTATAAATTCTCTGGTAAAAACAGGCATGCTTTCTTTGTTCTTTGTGCTTTACATGGGCGAAAATCATGGGCAAAACAGCATCCAGGCCAAAGTCCATAAACTTGGCAACTGCGTCGTGCCACGGAAATAGCAAAAATGGCAGCATCTGGATCTGGGTCAAGAAACTGCTGGCCAGGGACACTCACTCACCGCCGGATACGTGATGTAGTTGGTCACGGGCAGCGTGTCGTTAGCTCCTCGCCAGAATCCGGCTCCTGGCCAGGCGGATTCGAACCAGCGCTTGCGAGTGCTGCAATTGGGGAAAAGTTGGGGAAAAGCGGTTTGATTTGGAGGCTTTTCTAGCTTTGAGCTTGGGATAAATTCGTCTATTACCGATACAGCTCCGCGTGCATGGCCTGGAATCTGAATTTTAACTGGCAGCTGCCTGGACACTGGAGGTTCGAGAGCCGAAAAACTCGATAAAACTTCGCCAGGCTCACGGTTCCATTCTCAACCCTAAGTTTGCATACGCTGCCTGCCTCTTTTTTGGGGGTTGAATCGAATCGAAAGGAAACGAAACGCATCGAGAGGGAGCGATAGATCCTGCGCAGGACTAAACAGCTGTTCGCGGAGATAGGTCCTTGAGTGTTTGTTTACCGCCCGCAGCTGTTCGCCTGCATTCCTGTGAGCCATTTCCACTCAAGGAGAGATTGGAACACAATATAGGGGGTGTGTGTGGGACTAAAGTCAACCGCATTTCTACACAGAAAACAAATATTGATACTTTTGGACATCAACATTATATGTTTCTAATGAAAAGTTTACTGAACTGCCCCCAAAATGCATTGTTTTGTAATGGATGTCCTAATAAAATATTACAAATATTATGCGACATAATACTTACTAAAATTGAGAGGAAAAGCATTGTTGTATATATATTTTGGATAATCATCAGCTTTTTACTCATCCCCAAACTTCATTTTTGATACAGAAACATTTTTTCAAAAGGTATAAAAAATGCAATAAGAACCTAAGAATAGTTCCATATTTAGTATATAGAAGTAATAAAGGCGGAATGAGTTGAAGAGGTCAGAGAAATACATTTTTTGATTGCTAGTCTCTAATCAATATTCAACATCTATAAATAAATCGAGTAGCAATATTTATGGGACCTATGTTTTTCCCATACAGTTCGATTAGATTACGACGCAGCAGCAAAGGTGTCCAGAAAATATTTGTTAATAAACAAATTAATAAAAACGCACGTTTCACATTGGGATTTCAGGAAACTGCAAAGCATTCTTTCTGGCATCAGGCCAATTCCGTGTCCAGATAGCCACGCCACCCTGAGTAATTGGTTAAAGATGGACCGAGTGTCATCCACTTGATAACCAACTGATCTTGACAGTGACTTTCGGCGCCTTAAATAGGGTTTGAATCTGTATTGTTTGGTCATTAATTGCCTCCGATTTTACTTGTCTTTTTGGCAGGCATTAAAGTTATAAACACAGGTGCAGTAGGGACTCGTTAAAGAGTTATCCCTATTAACAAGATCAAATACACATTCATAATAGCAAAATGTGTCGAATTACTGTTGAAAAAGTACACGCGAAATCAATTATATTTTTGAAAATTGACTGTAGGTACTTAAAAAACCAAAATGTATAATGTCCTACATATCTACTCAAAAAAAAAGTATAATGGGTTTATAACGAATCTGTTAGTAATCTTGGATTATAGTCGTTACTATGCACATTTTACTATTTTTTCAAAATGTTTTGCTTAGATACAATTACGAAATATTTGAAATATTTTTCAAAATAATATTAATCATTCCCTGTTAGCTAGGCTTTCCTGTACGACAGAAAGAACATTATTCCTCTCTTTCTCCTACTCGTTCTCTCTCATAAACAATGACAAACCAAGTAAATACCAAAGGCAAAAAACCAGCAATGGAGCGTATAGAATCGCTCTATGCGGCAGCAGACTTTGTTTTTACATATAAACCGAATAATACGTATACGTGCGGCGGCGATTTTCATTAATGACGCAGTAGTCAATTCAGTCAATTACGCAAAATGGTATTCCATTAGAGCGGCGTTTCATCCATCGAGTACTCACTGTATTGACCAGGTGGGCCTGCATTTCCCTGCAGCTAACCGAGTTTAAGATCTCGACGAAACTCAACATCTGGCCATGACGGGCCGCTTGGTGAAGGGTGTTCAGCTGGGAGAACCGAAGACGCGGTTCTTGGGGGAACTTCGCACGGATCTCCTCGGAGATCTCCACCAGCATTCCGTGGGCCATGTTGAAGTACCCGAAATCGGGCGGGTAACCGTCGTATATGGAAGTGTGCGCATCGTCGCGAGGCTCTTCCGCCGGATCGACCTCCATTCTGGCCGAGAAATGGGAGATATTGCACTGATCGCGATCACCAGGAATGGGAGGTATCCACGGGCCCACTCTTTCCATGCGCGAGTACGGTCACACTTAGCGATGCACCTGCTAAAGTGAAAACAGTGACTATGCGATAGTCACATTGTTCGCTGTTCGTGCTATATAATTGTTATAATTTTGAAGTCAGCACGATTTTCCGTCACCTAAAGTTATTAGATTGAGACATTAAATTAAAATATTTTAGGTGTATTTCTTTTAATTAATTATGACTAAAAACCATTTCATACTCCCCTTTTTACTTTACAAAAACGACACCATGTTAAAGTATTATTATTTATTTAAAGATTATAATCTAAACGGCTGGTTTTTTGGGGAGCGATCCAAAGGCGGAGATGACGGTGCCTTTGGTGCCCGTAACAGTTGTAGTTAGAGCAGGAAGAGTGGGTTTAACAACGGTTGAAGAAGGTGCCGGCTGATCCCACTTGGATTTGCTGCAAGATAAAATTAAATTAACATTGCATTCTAAGATTTATCAAAAGACCATAATCTCACCGCTTTTTGGCCTCCTCTTCGACTTTTCTGGCCAAAGCTGTGGCCTGCTCCACCTTGTCCATGTCCTTGCGATCCTTTTGCCGCTTCAGCATTTCGGTTTTCTGGACTGCCGCCAAGGACTCGTAGTAGGACTCCTCGCCCCACTGCAAGGGATCGTAGATCTCGGGCGGATAGTTGGTGCCAAACTCGTTGATGTCGCAGAAGCTGATTAATTTGTCATAGATGCTGGGATTACGGAACTCCTTGCGGTCCTGTATCACCCGATTCATGTCCATATTGGTCTGGCGCATCTTCGTGTACATCTTGGTAATTTTGGCCACCAATTCGGCGGACGGTTTGCCCTTGGGTTCGGGTGGCAGCTGGAACTTGTACTTGGCGTACTTGGGATCCTTTTCGTAGCTCTCAGCGGTACGTTCTTCGGCCTGGAATCCGCCGGATTCCTCGTCCACCTCCATGGGGGTGTCTCCGTCCTTGGAGCCGGTTCCTGCATTGCCCTTATCCTTGGTTTTGGGACTATCGCCGCTCTGGGAGTCGGAACTATCGCTGGCCTCGTCACTGCTGGACTCCTCCTCGCTGGAGGCCGCTGCTGCCCGATCCTCATCCTCGTCGGAAATCAGAGTGTCATCCTGGTAGCTCACCAGTCTTCGCACTTTCTTGGCCCGCTTCTTTTTCTTCTCCTTGGACCGCTTGTTCTCCCCATCCTGTTTGGTGGGCGTGGGCGAGGGCCGCTTGGGCGGGATTATTACCTGGCATAAATTAATAATTATAAGCAATGTTTGGAAAGTCTTTACTTGGTGGCTCACCTGAGACGCCGTGGAGTTTTGGGAATCCGGACTGGCGTCGCCTTCATTCTCGGAATCCGTGTACTGGGCGGTCAAGCTGGCCAGGGCGGCCATTGTATTGGCTGTCCTTAAGTTTTTTTAATCCCTTGGCTGACTTGTTTTTTAAATATTGGTTTTAAATTGTGCAAAAACTCTTTTATTTTTCTTTTGGCTGCACACCAGGGCAGCAGTAAATAGTTTCTGGTATTTATCGTGTAAATAAGGTTACCGTATGGGGATAACCATTTGGTATTTTTTCAGTAATATTTTTTTTATTTACTAATTATTTTGAAATTTGTGATTTATATTCGTATTGAAAGCCAGGAATAAAGAAAACTAAGCTTAAAAATCCAACAAGCTTAAATTGTATTATGTAAGTACTTACAAGTATTCCTCTGTGGTAACTTATCTTTTTCAGTATTTTTTTGAAACATATGTCAGTGTTTACTTTTCTTCTTCTTTAATTATTGTATACAAGATGACGACGAAGGAGAAACCGGAGGAGCTGGACAGGATCCAGAAAAGGGTCAACAAGATCCTGGAGTCGCGTCTGGAGTCGGATAAGGTCAGTCCTCCAAAAGAGCCAATTCCATCCAGTAACCAATACACCCCTTAATCTCATAGGACACCTTGGACGCTCTGAGCGGCTTGTCCACCTTCTTCACGGAGAACACCCTGCAGAACCGCAGGAATTTGCGCAGCCAGATCGAACACCGCTCCGTGGGCATCAACGAGAACTTCCTGAAGGCCTTCCGCGAGGTGAAGCTCTCGCTGGACGCCGTATGCGAAGATCTGGACACGATGGCCACGTCAGTTGAGACGATGAAGTCGGATCTGGAGACCTCGAAGGCGCTGACCAAGGATCTGATCGAGCAGACGAACACCATGCAGCGGGAGCGGGATCGTTTGGAGGTCCATCAGCAGATTGCCCAGGCCTTCCTGGCCCGCTTTCAATTGAGCGGTGCGGAGCACCAGTTGCTCTATGGCGCCGCCAAGGATGCACCCATTGTGGCGGACTTTTTCCGGGTTCTGGACAGGGTCCAAGGAATTCATGCCGATTGCCGGCTACTGATGCAGTGTGGCTACCAGACAGCTGCACTCGACATCATGGAAGAGATGACGTTGCACCAAGAAGGCGCTCTGGAGAGGCTCTATCGCTGGACCCAGAACCACTGTCGCAGTTTGGAGAACAACGAGATCGGCCCGCTGATTGTGGAAGCCATGAGCCGGCTGCAGGATCGTCCTGTGCTCTTCAAGTGGGTTTATAGCATTTCATTTGTTATTTACTCAAGAAATTCCTTTTGCAGATACGTAATTGATGAGTATGCCATTGCGAGAAGGGCTGTTCTAGTGCGCCAGTTTATAGAGGCCTTGACAGAAGGTGGTCCCGGGGGCAATCCCAAGCCTATTGAGCTGCACGCCCATGATCCCAAGCGTTACATTGGCGATATGTTTGCCTGGCTGCATCAAAGCATTCCCAGCGAAAAGGAGAACCTGTCGTTGCTATTCAAAAAGTGCGATAAGCAGGGTTAGTTAAGCTCAGACTATTTTATTCACCCACCCATCTAATGATCATCTACCCACACAGATATTTCTGACCAGCTACAGAACGCCTTGGGCTACATAGCCGATGGCGTTTGCCACCCACTCAAGGTGCGAGTGGAAACAATATTGCAGGCGGAGAAGGACACCATTATTTTGTTTACCATTTCCAATCTGCTGCGCTTCTACCAGCAGATTATGCGACAAGTGGTTCAGGGCGGCAGTCTGGAGGAGTGTCTGGTGGAGCTGCAGAAGAGTAGCGAGCAGATTTACCTGGGTGCCTTGGCCGCCCAGGTGAGAAGCGTTCTGCAGCGACCATCGGGAGGATCGGGTTTGGCCTTGGAGCCACCGCAAAGGGACCTCGTTCCGCCGCCCAGCGTTGCCCGCTTACTCAACATGCTCAAGGAGATCCTTTCAGTGGCCACCATGGTCGATGGCCGCCAGGCGGACATCACCAAGATCGTGAGCTGTGTGATAGATCCGCTACTGCAGTCCGTGCAGGAAAGCGCCGCCCATCTGCCCACCGTGGATATGGGCGTGTATCTCCTAAATTGTCTCCATCACATGCAGAGCTCGCTGGCTGTTTACGAGTATATGGACGAGCGTGTGGAGCGGTTGCAGGCTCAATCGGATGCCCAACTGGACACTCTAACCTCCGAGCAGGCTTCATCGCTGGTGGCGAACCTCAATCTGGGTCCCATCTACGCCATCCTGCAGAGCAATCAGTCAAAAATCGAGACGAATCTGCTGAAAATCTTCATGTCCAAAATGGACGCCTTTCTGGAACTGCCCGATGTGCTGCTCCTGCCGCAGGTACAGCTTATCATGTCCAGCAGTCATCGGGCCGCCGTTCAGAAGCGCTCCTTCAACGTGATTGTGGCCATCTACAAGCAGATCTACGAGCGAGTCCACGACCCGGCCAATGGCTTCGAGCAGCCGGAGCAGCTGCTACACAGGACGCCCGAGCAGGTGGCCCACATCCTGACCTCCACCTAGTGGAGAGGGTATTATTCCGATTTCCAATGTTCGCTACTATAATTTATATCTATCTATTAATAAATCTTTATGTATTTTGCTCGCATTTAGTGGTTCAATATAAAAATTTTCGCACCTGATTACAGTCCGTGGGGCAGCCTTTAGTTTATAAGTAAAATCAATCGTATATCTGATGCTGACAAGAATACATTCGACTGCCTCCACACTCGGCTAACTTAGGCTACAACTAAAGTAGTGTTTCTCTAGGTCACAGTGGCCCTTTGGAAAAGTTCCAGGGTGAGGTTGGAAAAGAATGCAGGAAAATTAGTGGCGGCCAGCTGCTGATCAATGGGCGGATTGAAAGTATGTGAGTAGGGCGACTCCAGCAGGGCCAAGCAATTCGACTCGTTGAGGCTAATGTCCAGATAGTCATCGGGTCCCTCTGCAAACATGCTGGAAATGCTGCAAGCAAATGGAATATTGTTAGTAATCAAATAAAAGCAGTAATGGATTGAAAACCCACCGGTAGTTGCTGTTGGCGCCAATGCGATCGATCCGGTAGCCCAATAGCATGTAGCACACATCGCGGAACTCCTCTCTGGCCGCCTTGAACAAATCCTTCATCTTGCGCATCTTGCCATTGGCCGATTCCAAGTCCGCGCGCAGTTGGTTAAACTCCTTGAAGTTCAGGGTCATGCCGCCCGTGCTGGTGGTCTCATTGATCCGCTGCTCCTCGTCGTCCTCCAACTTCTTGTTGCGCCGCTTAAGTCTTTCGATCTCCGCCTGCAGCTTCTCCATCATGTTCTTGCTGGACTCGTAGGCCTCGGCGGCGGGATTGTCGTTGAGATGAACGACCTTAAAGTCCTTCATGTTGAAGTCGCCGCGCAGGCAGCGGTGCATCAGCTCCAACTCCATTTCCTCCTTGCGGCGGCGCAGGCGTTCGTTTTCCAGGCGCAGCGTATCCAGTTCCTTCTTGACGCTATCGTAGCCCTCGCCCGGCGGTTCGGCCATTAGCTCTTGCTGGCGCATGGCCTGCAGCTCCCGCTCCAGCGTGGCGCACATGTCCTTGTAGCCGGTGAGGGTCCTTTCCAGCACCTCCACGCGGTACCGCAGCTGCATGTCCTGCGTCATGTCCGCCACACTGGCATTGCTCATGGTCATGTCCTTGTCGAAGTTCTCCACCATCTGCTTGTAGAAGTCGCGCTCCTTGGACACGGTGATCAGCTTGCGCTGCAGTCGCTCCTTGAAGTTCTTGTGCCGCTTCAGTCCGATGTTCAGATCCTCGATGTTCTTCAAGTAGACGGCGCACTTTTGCTCCAGATCGCGCACTGCGGTCTAGGAATATCAATTAGAAGGGGTTCTGGATAAGAGTAAGGTAAACCCACCTGCAAATGCTTGGTGTCCGAGGCGGAAGAGGTCTTCTCGGCCACATTAACGATGTCCTCCTTAAGCAGCTGCTCAATCCGCGAGCGCAGCGCCATCGGGCTGACCAGGGTGTTGGCCAGACAGTGATCCTGGGCCACCTTGACCCACTCCTTGAGTTCCTGCTCCACATGCGTCAGCTTCACCTGCAGGGAGGCCGCCTCCGCGCGGGCACCCTCCTCCCGGTCCAGTCGCGTCTTGTAGTCGTGCACCTGCTCCTCCAGCAGCAGCTTATCCCCGATCAGAGTGTTTAAGTGCTTGTTGTGGCCGCGCAGGCGCTCCACCTCGGCCATTAGCTCCGGAATGCTGGCCAGCCGCTCCTGCGAGGCCTTCGTGACATCCTTCCAGTCGCTGTACGACTGAATCTCGAACTCCAGCTCCTGGATGCGATCGTTGGCCACCTTCAGGCTCTGCGTCTGCTTCTCATAGTCACCGCGCAGCTCATCGTAGCCGGAATACCTTGCCTTGAACTCTTCGTGGCGCCTCCGCAGGCGCTCCAGTTCGTTGCGCGTGGACTGCAGCTCGAGATCGGTCCGCTGGGCCAGGCGGCGGTATTCGCTGAGCTCATTGCTGATGCACAGCTGCACATCGCGGGCGTCCTCCTCCTGCAGGTACTTCTCCTTCTGCAGCTTGGTCATGGCCTCGTCGTACTTCAGCTGGAGCTGTGCCAACTCATTGATGGCTCGACTGGCCTCATCCTTGAGCGCCAGCTCCCGTTTCCGCAGCGTCTCCAGCTCCTTCTGCTGCTCCAAGTACTTCTTGCCGGTGGCATCGCACTGCTGCTTCAGCGCCGAGCTCTTGTTCTCGGCCAGCATCATGGCCTGTCGGTGCTCCCGGGTCTTCTGCTCGAGCTCGTTGCGCAGCTGGATGACTATGGCCTTGGTTTCGATCAGATCGGTGCGCAGTTTGCTGCTCTGCCACGAACCCAAGGGATCATTGGAGGAACTATTCAGGGAGGCGCTGCTGGCGTTGAAGCTGCGCTCCGGTGACTCCTGCCCCATGCGGCGCCTCTTGGGAGCTGTTAGTATAGGTACTTATAAGTTAATAGATCGAATCTTGTAAATAACCATTTAAATCAAACACTTACAAGCCACTAAGTTATCGCTGAAAGACGAGGAAAGCCGGTTGAAGAGCAGTTTCTTGGGCGCCGAGTGGGTTATGTCCTCGTTGAATTGCGCCATCATATTATCCATGCTGCTGCGTATGTCGTCCATTTTTCATGCAGTCGCGGTTTCGTCAATTGTGCGGTATAGTTTATCCACTTTTTATTTATTTTAAGTTTTTTTAGAGCTGTATATAAGAAGTAAAGGTGGTAATTTTTGCGAACATCGATGTTTGTAAAATATCATTAAGCATCGATTTTATTATCGATGTTTTCTGCCGAGTTTTAAACCAAGGTTCGTGAATAAACTAAACTAAAAATGTTGGAAGTAGAGATGTGATATTTTTTTAAAAAAATAAATATTTATTTCCTGATATTTTTAAAACTTTATTTTTGATATTTCCTACGTGGTCGAACTGATCGGAAAGGAAGATTTCTTGATTTCTTGAGGTATAACGACCGCCCCTTAGTATTTTCTTGATAACATTTCAGCAAGTCAAGTTGGCAGCCCCTAGTATTTTCTGCACCACCCACAAGTATGCTACGAAAATACCAAAAGTAAAAGCTATTGCTATCGATAACGATAGTACCTCGAGAAAATAAAAATTGATTTGCATTTGTTCTCGGCTTAAAATGAATTAAATGTTATTGTTTTTGCACCGAAAAAACTCCCAAGTCGCCAAATCCACAAATTCCACTAGTCAAACGGACTAAACTGAAACAAATCGAACAACTGCCAAAAACTAGAGCGTATGTGAAGGAAAGGCGTGTGTACGATACACACCGAGCGATAAGAAAAAAACGGTTACAAGAAAGCTCTCGAGGGAAAAAAAAAACGAGAAATAATACATTTTACAAACGAAACAAAAAACCAAGCCGCGAGTGCCGCAAAAATTGGCGAAAATCGCAACAAAAAAGTGTATGTCAAATAGGAAAATGTGGCTCCGCCAGCGATAACGGTACTCCAATGCGCTCTCTCGCACGCACACAGACACACACCGCACACCATCGCCACTGCCAAATAGCGAATCCTGACCAACAGCCGCACCTATAAAAGTGGGCGTAGGTAGAGACAAGTTACTGTAACAAATTGCCAAGTAGTGAAGTACGCTAATTGTTTAAACAAATCCGAGCTGGCTTAATCTAATACCCAAGCGGATTCCGATACACACCTATACACACATGCCCACGCTGGAAGAGAAGGAGAGGAAAGGAAGCTAAGCGAAAGGACAGGACAGAAGGGCAGGAAGAACAAAGCAGCATCGGCGCGTTGGAGAAATGTGCGGGAAGAGAAGATTGAAAATAAACGTGTAGTAGAGAATTTTTGAAGCACTCACACGCACACCTCCCACACTCTTTTTCTCTCTGTCTCTCTGCTTATCCCGTTTGCCGCCTACACACATACATACGTACATACGCTCTCGTATCGCGAAAAGCGTGAGCTTTGTTGTTGCTTCTCCCACCCCCTCTCTTCTTGGGGAGCTTCTGCTGTTGTTGTTGTTGTTGCCGCTGAGCAAATGGCAGACCCTCTAAGCGGGCGCCGCTGGTGATAACATGTCGTAATGGCCAGAGAGGTAAGTGCAAACGTGCTAAAAGCAAAGCCGGCAACTAGGCTTAACCGTTTCGATTTTTCCGATCACAAGCGTATCGAAAGTTCATCTGCAAGAATCAGCTGTTCTCACTTCATAACCATCATTCATTTTGCGAAACAACCGTTTTGAACCTACCCAACATCACAATGGTTAATACCTCTCTATGTTTTTCAAATAGCTTAAAATCATAAGAAAGTCCATCCAAAATTCAGCCAGAAAGTTAATTTTTTGCCAAAAAATCTGTAACTCTTTTAACGTCGCACACTGGGCCAGCAGATCCGATTTTTGGCCTAAAATACGTTTTTTTTTTAAAGAAAATGATTAATTTGAGTATGGGTCCTTTTTATGATACATCAAATTAATTTATGGCAAAGTTTCAAAGAACTCGAGCAAGTAGTTTTCTTCTACCCATTTTTCAAAGTGAAAAATTCATCAAATATTGATGGAAATGAAAAAATATAGAAGTCAAAGATGCTGAGATAGCTCTTCGACTTTTTCACGAAACATTTAGAAGTGGTTATTTCAACAAGCTAAAAAAAAATTATAGAGCCCGTAGGTCTTACTTGTTTTATTAAGAGAAATTTATTTGTTGATGTGTACGGCTTTTATTTTAGCAAATGAGTACTTTGTGTGCAACGTTACACCCGCCAACTGTAAAATCACTGTTTGAAAAATTAGTTCTCACTTCTACCGTACATCACAAATGCCTTTTCAAGACTTTGGGAATGTAAATAAAATAATGGTATTAAATAATAGCAGCGGATCTCCTTAATGATACAACATCTTATCAAATAATAAAATGAAATAAGTAAAATCCTAATGTACACAACCATCTTTTCAAAAAAAGATAAAAACACTTTTCCTGCCCATTTCAATAGTGGCGCCATCTGGAAGTATATTTACTTTTAAATTAGTTCTGGGTCACCTCTGCGATAATATTTAATTTGTGGAAACTAGATTTTTAAAACTGTTACAAATATTTCAGCTTTTTGTATATGTATTTCATGCCAGCAATTTTAATGTAAAACGTAATACAATTAAGAGTATCCGCCCTGTGGAGCGACCACAGTAGCTTTGTAACTGGTTTTAGACTACAGGAGCTCTGCTGTATCTATTTGAATTTTTCATACGACAACCTTTGCGAGTGTATCTAGCAAGGCGTATCGCTGCGGATACTCCGCATTCGCGTCCGCATCCGCTAGAGGAACCTATTAAGCCTGTGGCCCGCATTAGTCTCTTTGTGTGCGTGTCCCCCAAGCTCCTGTTCTGCATGTGTGTGTGTGTTTGTGCATGTTTTATGCAGTTCCTTCGTTTCGTTTTGCTTTGCGGGTGAGTGAATAGCTTTGACCCAAATAACTGAGGTAATACTTACGCCTCACAGATGTGCCACTCCCCCAACGCCCTCTTTTCCCACCGCCCCCCATTCCACGTGCAGCTGCAACTGTTGTTGTTCTTCTGCCTCTTCCCCCACCCCCTCTGAAAGGAATTTTTCTCTCTGGCTTTTCCAAAATTGTTGCTTTGAGAGCTTGTCTCAAAAAAAAAATTAGTTGCAAATTCCCCAAGCTTAGGAATTCCTTTTAAAGCTCATAAAAATGCAACCGAGATTGCTTTTAGTTGGCAGTTGATCTGGCATTATTTAGCATAAACAAAACGAGATTGTCTCTGCTTCTTGCCGAAATTAAAAATCTCGGCCAGCAGCAGTTACAGTTATTTTAGAGCTCTGTTATCCTTTAACATTTACAGCTGGCAATGCTTTTGCGAGAGGAAGAGAGCTGCATATAAAATTGCATCTCTCTCTATATTATTTTTATTAAAAGACCTAAATGTTTAATGTTACAGTTTAAATGTGAAGCGGGCTATGACCCTTAAAAAGCTCTCTATTTTCCTAGGACAAACAATCCAATAGTAACTGTTAATTGATCGGCTTTGATTGGCTGTAAATATTTACAAAATCAAACGCTTGGGATCCCAAGGAATACTTGTGGAGCGATTCAAGGGAGAAGGTGCGCGCGCCTTAGCGTCCTGATTATATCACATTGATGCAAATGTAGGCCAAAGCACGGTCAAATAATGTTAACTGTTGAAACAGAGAAAGGCAAATGGAAAAGTATCAAAATAGAGGTAGTGGGCTATACATATAAAATAAATATAATATAGTTAGGGAGCTTAATTTTTAAGATATTTTGCCTTAAATGAAGTAGATAGTAGTAACGGTACTTTTCCCCACTCTACTTGTCCCTTTCGCACTCGCAAAGCTTCGCGCTGCATTTCACCTCGTTCTCACTGAACTGCACTTCTCTCGCGTTTATGCCTCGTGCTCATTTTGAAACGCTGTTAAAGCGCTGCAAAAACGCACCCAGCCCCAAAAGTCGAAGAAGCAGCAGGCCGTAGTGGATTCCGATGCAGCATCTCATCGGGAAAAACTCACAGTTTGCTCTGCCAGGCTGCCAGGCACACAGGCAGCAAAAGAAAAGGCTGCTGCCACATTTCGCATTGGCCAGTGGAAACACCACGTTTCAACTGGGTGTGGAGGACTAAACAAATCCAGCGTTTTTCTACAAAAATAACTTTCTAAAAAATATATGATTAAGTCTAAAAAACTAAGGCAGCGTCAAATGAAAACGAAAACTCGGCGGTTTCACGGGCAAATCGGGCGCTGCAGGCGCGTAGTATCCGTAAAGTGAAAGTGCGAAGGTCAACCCGCCCTGACCTGCCCCAAAAATACGAATACGAATGCGAAATACGAGCAGTGAAAAGCGAAATTTGAGGCACATCTGTTCTGCAAGATTTTACAACAAACTTAAAAAAAAAAAAACCGAAATTAAGTGAAAAGAACCCTTTTTACCAGAAACAACATTTTGTGCAAAGTGCGTTTTTTTTCGTGAGCCCCCTTAACAATTTTTGTAATAACGAATTTTCCCCCCTGAACGCAAGGCATTTAATACTCAAACAATAAGCAATAAGCTTTAATTTTTGTAAAAACTTTTGGTAAAAAAACTATCCGAAAACGGATTTTATAAAGCGTAAAGCTTAGTACAGAGTTTATATAACGGATTTTTAAACGGACATGGATTACTGGAGCTCGGAGCTCCAAGTGTAAGACGACCTTGGGAGCAAAGAGGCCCACAATTGCAAGCCAGTAGTGCAGATTCGGCCTAAAAGTGGCTGGCAGCAGCAGCACCACCAACAGCACCACCAGCACCACCATGTGGTCCAACGCCCTGTGCACGCTGGGCGTGACGAAGCCGCTCTGCAACTGTCTGAGCATCAGACAAGTGGCAGCCGCAGCTGCGGCGGCGGCCCAGGCCACGCAGGGCGTTGCTGCCTCTGCCGCGTCTGCGGGTGGGGGCGGAGTGGGTGGTGGGGCCATCACAACGGGACCCTCGTCTGTCACAAACGGCGGTCTGTCCGCAATGGTAATAGTTCCCCCTTTTGCGGGGCACAAGTCTCCCCATGCACCCTTTCAATCAGCATTTGTTTAGTTCAAAAGCAGTAATAAATACCCAAGTTTGAATAGCTTCGCTTTTTAGATCTACACAACTTATCATGGTTCCTTATCGAGGTTATATTTGGTCTTAAAGATACATATTTTCATCTACATTTTTCGAAATATTTTATTACGGCTAATTAAGAAGTTTTCCATTGTCCGTATGAGTTCATGAAGTACCTTAATGAATCAATAAATTTATTATCCTAACTAAGCTTCCGACCCATACTTGTAATACTTTTAGATTTTTATAGGTATTAGTTTTGCCCGTTAAGTTTATTTATAAAAGTATTCTAATAGTCGAGCAACCCCGCAGTGCTTTCGTGCTTTTTGCACCTTTGTACGTTTATTAATTTCAGAATTTATAATAGCCAACCAAACCCTCCCTCCGCTGGCGCCCCAGAATGCCATATGGCGTTGGGGCGCAGCAACTGACCTATCCCAAAAGAAAAATCCGAACGAGGAGGGTGCTCCCCTCACGAAACACAGAGCGAAAGAAATGAAATATTTTTATGAAAAGTTTTCTGCTTGTTTTCGATGTGGAGGAATAAGCAAAATGTCAACATGAATTTTTTGTAATTTTTCAAACATTTTATTTTGGGTGAGTGGGCGGGGGATTGGGAACTTTGAACTGGGGAACGGGGAAACGGGGGAATTGTTGGCCGAAGAGAGATATTTGTATTTGGCTCGTGTGCTGCACTCGTTACTGGGTCACTGGAGCGCCACACTCATGTCCTTGCAATACATTAAACATTGCAGCTTTCGTCCTGCTCGGCTGGCCGTTGTTGTTGCCTGCAACTGTTAGCCAACAGCTGTGAGCGCTGTTAGCCAAAAGGGATTCGTTTTCACTTTTCTTTGGCTTCTTTAAAAATGATTTTATTCTAAATGATTTCTTTTTTCTTTTATTTTATATATCATTTTTGGTAAGCGTGTTTTGTTGATAGTTCCCTATTTTTAGTTTTTAATTTTTTATGTTTTATTCAAGCCTCAACCGTTGTGGCCTTGACATTTGCGCCCTTTTTATAAAAGCCCGAGAAGCCCAATTAGCGGGCTGAGGAAATTATGACACAGAAGGCCCGGGCTGCTGCCACACCCACTTGTCAGTTTTTCGTGCGCAGCGTTTCACAGGTGTCACGCCCATCCTGCATCCTGCCTGCATCCCACATCCCACATCTCACAGCTCACCTTTCACTTTCCCCTCGCCAGCCCTTAGAATCGTAATTCGTTAAACCCAACTAATCCCAATTTCTCTTCGCAGGAGTCTCGCGGCAAGAGACCACTGAAAATCTGGGACAGCTGGCGGAATGTGCGCAAGGGCGTCGTAGTTGGGACCTTCGAGGAGCTCTTGGTCCGCGGCAAGGATAAGCTGGGGGTTCCTGCTTCAGAACCGGTGCGTGTCGTTCTGGAGTGTGATGGAACCCAAATCGAGGATGGCGAATACTTTCGCACCCTGGCCAACAATACGGTGCTGCTGCTGTTGAGGCAGGGAGAGCGCTGGTATCCCACTGGCGTCGATGTCATAAAGGCTGGTGGGTCTAACAAGATGTTCTTCCTCTAGAGATCAGTACTGTCCATGGGAAATATCTGTCAGCTAGCTAGGAACTTAAAATAATCTATGGATTTATCTAGGGAAATGTCTATCAACTAGCTGGGATTTTTAAATATTTTATGGCTTTTCTTTGGGAAATGACTAAATTTAAGAAATATGCTTTAGACCAATGGCAATCAATTAATTTCGCACTTAACAAACGTTTCAATGGGGCTTGTTTAAACATTTTAATTCAGGGCCAACTGTTTATAAATTAATTTAAAGTCTGCATAGTTTGTTGTTTCATTCAGTTAAAAAAAAAACAACGGAAATTTAAACAATGATCTTGAATTTGTACCTGTGTTTTAAAACACATTTTCGCTTGTTCCAAAATTAGATTGCAAAAACAATAAATTTCAGTATTCTTTTAATGCGATTCCCTTCAGAAAGCTATTAAAGTTTCCATTGTTAGCATTTAATTTTAAACAAAAAATGTAACAAATGTTGTTAAAAGGCAATTGGCTTCCAGAAGCTATATACAAAATAATATAAACTCTATTATCATTGAATAGCTGGATCTATTTCTCCTAACTGAAAGGGATTATCTAATGTTAATGAATATCAGTATTGAACTCTAGATGAAAATTCACTCGCATCCAAACAGATCTTAACCTATCTTTTCTTCTACAGCCATATCAGCTATTCCGAAAATCGTCTGTGAGACGATTCATGCGCTGGAGTTGCATGATGAGACACCGTCGTGGAAGATCATGGATAACAAAGGGCGTGTCACGGTCGTTTTGCACTGGGATCAGCGGCAGGGCGGAGGAGGCGGCGGCGGCGGCGGAGGAAGTGGTGGCGCTGGCGGAGGCGGAGTGGGGAGCATGTGCTCCGGCCTGGGCAGCAGCAATGGACTGCTGTCGTCCGACAAGTACTCGCCCTCAAAGAAGGGCCTCTCCGCGCAGAGTTCGCTGGACAACAAGTCGGTGTCATCGCAGTCCTCCCAGCCGCGCTACGCCAGCCCCCAAATAACGGTGATTAGCGACGACGGACCGGCTAGCATATACCATCCCGGTGGCGTTGTCCTGCCGCCAGGAGTTGTGATACCCGGCGGCAGCAGGCGGCTCTCCAAGCAGGGCAGCTCCTTCGACAGCACCGTGGGCGTGGGCGTGGGAGCGGTCCACGTGCATACGCCGGAATGCGCCCACCACGCCCACACGCCCAGCAGGGCGGGCAGTCCCAGCACAACGGAGTGCGATTTCCACTGCTGTGCGCTGCACGAGGAGGGGCGCAAGATCGCCGTGCACAAGAGCGTGGCCACGTCGCCCATCCAGGACGGGAGCAGCAGTCCCCAGCCGCAGTCGGCACCATCGGTTATGGATCCTATGCTGGGCGGCAGCAGCGGCGGCGGCGGCGGAAGCGGCAGCATGCAGCGTCGTTCGTCGGGCGCCAAGGGTCATGTGCGATTCCTGGACATCGCCCCGGAGCGGGACAGCTCCGAGAGCGAGACGGAGAACACGGTGATGGAGGACGACAAGACGACGACGGAGAAGTTTCTGCTGCTGATCGACCAGCTGTCGGTGGACCAGAAGCGCCACCTTAGCATCAAGGACATCGGCATCATACTGGAGCGCCTCAACTCGAAGATCCTCGACGTGGAGCGATTGGATCGCGAGTCCGAGTCGGACGATTGCTACAACTGGACGATAAAGGCGACAATACGCGGCGATGCGCTGCGCGAACTGGGCGTCATTTACAATGGCAACTACTATGCCATCTCCGAGCATCCCGGCTACAAGGAGGAGCTGGAGGAGAACGGCGAGGAGGTCGAGGAGGAGGAGGAGGAGGATGAGGAGGACAGAATTTAGAGTGCCAGTGACAGGCGGACGAATGCCCCACGTTGGGCGCCACGGAAGGTATCAATAAACTAGCGCATTTTACAGAAACAGAAAACGAAAAAAATGGAAAAACCAAAAATAGGAGTAGCCCAGCAGCTCAACATACGAACACACTCACACACACCAACATGCATACATATATACATATATACTTATATAAAATAATTACGAGAATATAATAATGCAAGTCGCACATTGTACAATAGTGAAGTAAGCATAAACGTGAATTATAAAAAAAGGCGAAAGCAAAGCAGATACACACACACACACACCCACGCCCACAACAACAGCAACAAGCGCGAACCATGTAAACGCAGTTTTTTGTAGCATTTAGCCAGAATTCTTATAGACAGGGACCGACATTAAACGATAAAGTGAAGCTGGCAAGCAAAGTAGTAGTCCTTCCACACCGAGCCAAACGGTCATAAATGCTTCCCGTACTACTGCTATAGCGCCATTTATAACCAGCTGAACGAATATAACATTTCGCATTCAATCTTCCCAAAATTCACCCCACAGATCAGTTGCAATTCCCCCAAAAACCAGAGCCACAAACCATCCCTGTGTTGTTATCGTTGTTGTACAATAGATGTTTCGTGTTCCGTTGTGATTGTGTGCCAAAATAGCCTTATTTAGTTGGATAGCCCCACACACAGACTGCCACTCGAGTCAGGAAATCTAATCTAAACCCAAAGACTATAAGTTGTGAAAGAGATATAGATAACAGAGACTATAAATTGTTGTTGCCACAAAAGAAACAGATGACGGGGTCTAACTGTAGTTCAGTCGGTCTCTCGTTTCCTATGTAGTGAGTTCCTCAGTTTGCTTTTCGACCCACCCCAGCATTTGTATAGTTCCTGGATAGCGCAACTCTCTGTTCGAAGCCTATTATTTGTTAATGTTGTTGCATTTATCCCCCAAAATAATTCCACAAATCATCCGCATCAGCATGTAAAACTGCCGTTATTTGTAGTGTTGTCAAACGTTCAACAAAATCGCGCACAATGTTAAAATTAAACACAGAGAATAGAAACAATAAGCAAGATGCTCGATGCTCGCAAAATGCCCGACAAACAGACTAAATTATGTGTAGTAGATATAGACCACCCCCGCATGGCCTCTAAAATCAGCCGTAGATCCATTGGGAGTATCTATCAGAAGTCATGACACGATCGCAATCGAAATTGTAATTGAACAAATGCGTAGAAGCGAAAACACTGCCAACATCGCCATTAGCAATCGCATCTGCATCCGTTGGCTTAGACTTTCAACTTCCGGAACTTTGAATGTTCCATACGGGTATCAAGCAATCTGGGTAAATTGGGAGAGCAGTAGTTTTAAGGATTCTTGGCGAGGACACAACTTTTAAGCAAACTTTATTTTATTGAAGAAAAACGTTTTCAATGAACGAGTTTCAAAATGTAGGAAAATAGGGCATTCTATTTAAAACTATTTATTTCATTTTTGTAGTATTGACATTCAACATTTCATCTTATAAGATCATCGGAAAACTTTAAAAAGTGATATTCCGAAAATGGTTTTACGAATTTTACTCTTATCTTTAGATAGACTTTTTTCCAGTTTAAAAAGTTTTTCTTAGTTTTAAATAGGCCGAGAAGGATTGGCTTTTTAGCATTGGCGATTACCATTATCTGTAGTGTCCTTTTAGGGATTTAACAGCAGTCGTAGCTGGTCTACGCTGCTCGTCACTCTGTCCTGGATTAGATCCATAGGCATTTGATTTGGAAACTTCTGCTGCTTCAACAAATCCTCAGACAGCTTGAGTAGTAAGCAAAACGGTTTAATAACTTAAACAATACTACGCTCTAAACCGAAAATAAACTTTAATACAATACGGAAATAAGAAACGGGGAAAGAAAAGCGATTTTTAACAGACGTTTGTCCAAGGCACAAATCTAAAGCATTGATGCGAGAAAATTAAATGAAAACCTAGTATGTATAAATGAAAATCGAAATTGATAATTGATTGATAACTATAATAAACATAAAGTTTGAAAAGAGAGGAGCAAAGCGATGAAGAAGAACGTTAAACGAGAATTCACAATTAGCGAGGCGCAAAACAAATTCATTAGCGTTGTTTTAATTTATTAGTAAGTCGAAAACGGCAAGCGACCCAAAACACGACGATGAATATATCTCCATGTGTAAGTATGTATGATTAAAGGACGGAGTGCGAGGGAGGGGAGTCGAGTTATAGATATTGAGGAAGGTAGTTCGGAAATACCTAAGCGTACTCAACAAGCATAACATAGTTATAAGACGGGAACTCGCAATACGATGATAACTCAACTTCCAAACCGATACAGACTTCTTCAGCTGACTTCCATAATCATAATCATTGTTAACACTTAAATATAGAAGATAACGCTTTAAAAGAACAAACAGACACTTACACGAACCTTAGTTCCAGTTGAGTTAGTTAGGTTCTGTTCGATCCCGAACCCCCGAATTGAGTCCAAGACCAATCCAGTTTCAAGATTCCAGATTCCAGTTCCACTTCAAGGCCCTGCCCTGCCCCTCCACTCAGACTCGTCGTCACACACTCTGTGTAAATGCAATCAGTTAGATTTATAAGATGAATAACAAGTCGAAACGAATGTAAGACATCCCCAAAAGAAAGGCATTAATTAAGCTACGAAACAATTTGCAAATAATACTCATAGAGCGCGAGTCAAGGCAGAAGATGCAACATCATGCGTTACATTGTTTTAATATTGCGAATTACGAATAAATTGATCAATTAACATATACATACAACAAAGAGCAAACAAATTACAAACTGTTTTTATTAATTTTGTTAAACGATAATGAAATCATTAAAATAACTCTAACAAAGGAAAACAAAGCTAAGCGGATAACAAACGACAGATTAAAATTAATAACATATATAAATCGATATATATAAATACACACACTCACATAAAAACAACATTGAGCAGAGAAACAACAAAACAAAAACAAAAAACATAAATTCAATTAAAAAGTAACAAAAACAAGAAAAGAAAAAAAACAAAGTTTAAAGAACAAGCTCAAGTCGCACGGAGCAGTAAGGCTAAAAGAAAACAAATTTGTTCACAGTGTAAATTGTAACACACAGAGAGCGAAATTAGGCGCAGGAAGACGCGAAGTGAGGAATGTGAGCGAGGAGCTATTATTAAAACATTAAACGATTTAAACAATAAAAAACAGAAAATAAATAAAACAAAAAAAATACAAAAATTTAAACCGATTCGAACTGTCTTGTAGATTAACCGGAACTGATCGCGATAAACATTTCCACTCAATATGTATGTATGCGAACGACTGTATGTAAATATACGGGGGATTCACACATCAACTGCAATGTTTATTAAACATGAACGAACTAAAGGTTGTCTACATCCAACAATAAATTATTGAGCCAAACATTGAACAGTTTATTGCCGCTCAACTGGAGCTGGCTCATTTCCGATGTGGTTACGGTGCGTTTCATAACCATAAATGACGCGTGGCGCGAAGGTCGAAATTCTAGCGATCGACGCCCGACATTGAGCGTTTTATAGCCCGTTTTTATTTATGTCTCTGCTTGATACTTAAACATAATATGGTTGTCGACCCCTTATGATTTTGAAACGCACTGTCGAAAGACTTTCAATACATCAAAAAAAAGTCGATGCCTTGTGGCATTTTGTTTTATGTGATTACGTATCTGAACTGTATTGATAATCTTTGCTTTGCTTTGTATGAAGTGTGTGTTCAGTGCACATCAGGCATATGGGCACGCATTCTAAGTAATCAGTAATCAGTAACAATTGGTAACGGTAAAGCTAATCACATGGGAGAACCTGCCCGAGGCGGTACCCAAAACAAACAGTTTACTTATTGCTAGCAATCGTTTAGAGCCGCTTGAGCAATTTACAAAGTGATAAAGCACTGCTCGCACAATGCAATAATACGTATAGTTTATATGGTCATATGGTCATTTGGTCATTACTCATCTCAGTTGGGGTCTGAGCTGTGAGTTCTGAGTTGTGAGAACAGCAACTGAGATAATTTAATTAAGTAAGTCACTTATCGAACGCGTGACTAACAGTTAATTGAGGGCTTCGATTAGCAGTGTCGCGCATTTAACCTCACTCAACGCAATTGCCAATTTGTCTGTTTATCAAACCTACAGTCATATACATATAGCATTTCGTATCGTTTTCGGTCGTCCGTGTGCTTTGTGATACATTTGTGCGGATATGTGGTATTGTCTTTATTCGTTGTTGTCTTACATAAGTTAACAAGTGCGTCTAAGTATATTAAGTTAGTTGACTTTGATAGGGATTAGGCTAGCGATTATCACTAAGCGTGGATGGTGACGACGTTGGCTAGGCGACTATATGGCCGGCCGTAACTAGACTGGGCACACGACGAGGAATCAAGGAATCAAACTAATGGCTATCCTAACACTAAGATCTCAACCCGGCGTCTGCAGCTTGTTGCTGGATCGGGAGAATAGGGCCTTCTTCAGGATATTCGGCTGCCACTTGATGAAGCTCTTCTTGCTCTCCGACGTGGTGGAGATATTGGAGCTGCTGGCACTGAGTGTCCTTTCCCGTTCCGTAACATTTATGGTGCTGACGGAGTGGGCATGTCGCAGGGTCTTCGCACTGCCGCCATCGTTCTTCGGCGTCTTTGCAAAACTGTGCGTGATTCTGCGCAGGAATCGATCCTTTTTCTTAGGTTTGTGCTCCGGCAGAGGTGATCCGGTATCCCCGGAAACCGACACAATTGTGGTCTCCGCGTCCGCCACTTTATAGTTGTTGTAGTTGGGCATATCGGTGACATCCTTGTCGTTGATCTGTATCCGAATGCTGGGCGTCGTTACCCGCTGAGGAGTCGATTCCTCCACTGGTGAGGGTCTGTGGAAGAGAGTTCTTAGCATTACTAAAGGCCTACGTCACGAAATACGCAAAGTTTGAGGCAGCTTTTAATCTTGCTTCACTTATGTATATCCTAATCACTTCGCATAACATCCGAAGAATAACTAATTTCGGAAATATTTAATCTTACTCCCATAAATAATGAAGTTTATTTCCGATCTGCCTTTTTTAAAGTATATTACTCATTCGCATTGTATTACTTCCTGGGCGTTTATTTTAAAATCGTCTGAGTGCATCTTCCGAAAACAAAAGTATCTTAACACGCAAAATTAAATAAAAATTCCTGCCAGATTGTTCTAAGGTTGATCTCACATACGCTATGTGGTATTTGCTTATATATTTTGTTTACAAGCAGTTTGGTATACATTAGAGAATTTTATGTGAATACAAAAAAGCGATTTGGTAGCCCCTAAAATGTAAGGTTTTCTTTTAATTCCCTTTCATTTGTTTCTTTTCAAGTCTTAAAACCTTATTTTTTTCTGAATGTATACCTTGAAGAGATTACTTATCACCCTAAAGATTTATATCGATCCAGCCCACGAATAAACAAGCCACACTTACGTTTGCACCTGTCGCGTCGAGTAGATAGAATAGGCGTCCAGATCGTGCAGCGAACGCGCCAACTTATCCCAGAAGTTGAACAACTTGGAGTCCCCGGCGTACTTGATGTGCGTATAGATGCCCAGGGTCTGGGGTATGTGCATATCTGGCTTGTACAGAATCGGTATGATCTTGCGAGTGTGATTCTCTACGAAAAAGCAGAACGGGTTATGAGGTCCGACCCTGAGTTACGAATTGCGTAGCAGCTGCTCACCGATTTGTATCTTCTGGGTGAAGTTCACGAGGTACGTGTTCTCCGGACTCCGAAGAAACTCCTCTGTGAGCACGACGATCAGGTGATTACAGCGGGTGGCCATGAAGTGGGAGAGTTGGACATGCTCGAAGGGAACGCCCATTAGCATGTCGCGGTGGCGCAGGAAAAGCTGTAATTAAAGGTTCCTCGGTTATTTGTTAGAAGACACAAGAGACACCCAGAAGATTTCACTCACCCTGAGATTGTATCGCTCGGACTCTAGATTATTCATGATCTCGGTGGCATGATCGATGTCTGCCTCGGCATACAAAACACAGGCATTATATCTGGGCAGCGGTTGCCCCATCTGCACACATCTCTGATCTTCTTCGCTCAGGATCTGGACACTTTGGCCCACTGTGATGTTGTTGTTGCTGCTGTAGTTGTTATTGGTCTCGAAACAATCGCTGGGGGGCGGCGGACACGCCTCCACCAGAGAGGTCTGTCGCTGCTCCTGTTTGATATTAAAGCGTTGGGTGTCCTTGGCTATTATAAAATATAAATAATATAATATACAAAATACAACAATAATATCGAAATAAGTATTGCTTTATATCTCCTGTAAACTTCTAGAATTCCTTCAAACTTAAACTGAAAAACAAAATACTTATAGAAACATTAATATGTTCAGCAGAAAGTTTTTGGAATTTAACGAAAACAAAATCTGTGTATATAAATCTGAATATTTGGGGAATTTGGCCAATTTAGTTATAAATCAAATTTACACATTCAACCAATATATGTATTACTGGAATATTTCTAATAATGGTCATAAAATGTTTCAAACAAATTTGTTTTCCATAAATCTAGCTTTGACCTTCTAAGTTTTTTAATTTGTCTTCAAATACAACGTGAGTTCAAGGAAAACATAGGAAAATATTGACCAAAACAAATATTTCTATACAAATATGTTGTGATAAACAAAAATTGTGCTTTAGGTCTTTTTATAACCGACACCAGTTTTTGTCATGTGAATCTCCTTTGTGAAAATAACTTAAAAAATTTCATTTTTGAATTATTTATTGTGGCAGGGCTATTAGAAATTATTGCTTGGAGAATTCCATTTATGGCATTAGCTTTTTTTTGAGTTCTGGGTACTAAAAATATTACAAGTAAATATTTTGTTGTTGGTAATAAAAAGAAAATAAATCACTCAAAAGTTATTTTTGTAACTGCATATCTAGTATTCATCATAACTCAATTTGTTTATGTATTTATTGATAACCATTGTTTGAATTAGATAAACTCGTCATAGATAAGTTAAATATATATGCGTTCCGCTTACACTGGATATCGTTACAAATATCCACACAAGCGCAAGAACAAAATGGTTTTTCCCATCATAAATCTGAGTACGAATCAACCAATTGTTATTTGTATTAAAATAAAACACTAATGTGTAATTTCCGTTTTCTTTTTATATGAAGTTTTTTTGCTATAATCTTTGGATTATTTATGCTATAAAGTGGAAGTAAAGAATTCCTGTGAATATGTCTAAACTTTAAATTTTAGATTTAGTTAGAAAACTAAAGAAAACCGTTTACAAACGGCTTTCTTAAACTGCAATCTTTTGAATATAATTTTAAATTGATCTGAAACTAATGGCACTCCAAACTCAAGTGAGGTATTTTCAATTATAGATACCGACTGTTGTCAACTTAAGTAAGTTTAATATATAATGCCTACCCAGATTCTCCTGGATGTCGTCGCAGACGTCCCATCGATCGATGATGCCGAGGAAGTTCTCAAGATGCCCCACCTTGGCGGTCTGTGGGCTCCGCTGGCTCCAGCTGATCAGCACCAGATCCATAGGATTGTTGGCGTTCTCGTCGACGAATCCCTTCTGCTTGGCCAGCTCCGAGATGCCCCGCCAGTCCCGCTGGTAGCCCTCCTCGGATCGCAGCACCTTCTTGCGGTTCAGCATGCGGGATAGTTGCGTGCGGGTCTCAATGCCCAGTTCGGATAAGGGGGTCTCGTTGAAGTGCCCCACTCCGATCCCCGATCCGGAGTCCGTAACTCCCTCGGCCACCACCATGCTGGCGGTGCGATAACGCCGATAACTGACGTCAGTGGCGCCGTAAATGTGATGGGGATGTGAGTGGGGATTGGGATGTGGATGGTGGTGGAAGTGGGAATGGGAATGGGTTTGGGAATGGGCAACCGAGTGCTGCTGATGGCATACAAATCGAGGGCGCATTCGCACTTGGCGCTGGCTTTATTGGAATAATTGGTGTTTGTTTGCTGGTGTGTTTGTTTTAGTGTGATGCGATATATATTTATCAACTGACGTTTATCAGTCGAGAGGGCGGCCAATAAAACGATGAAGCGCGTGAGTTTGCTATTGTTTTTTGTTGTAGTTATTTTAGTTTTTTTTTTTTTGTGTTTTCAGATCGCGCGTGCTGTTTGCGGGCGGATGGAACTGGAACTGGTTAACGGGGGGTGGTGCTACTGCTACGGCTACTGCTTCTATACAGTGCTATGCGAAATGGGCCGAGTGACCTCCAGCACCTTGCCGCGTCACAGTCGCGTTGTTTTTGTCTCGGATTCTGTTTTTATTTATCTGTCTGCTCCGCTTCGCTGTGGCGGCTGGGGGAGATCTTCGCTTTTCGTTTATCGTTATTCGGTCTTTCGTCTGGCGGATGATTTTTAAATATTGTTTAAATATACACGAGACACACAACCGCACATGCACACACACAGTCTCGCACTAAGCACAGAAATAAATTTTATTCGCTTTTCGAGTGCGTCCGCTCCGGTTTGTTGTTTTGTTTCGACTGGTTCTGTCCGCCGTTTTGTGCTTTTGTTTCTGCCTCGTTGTCCGCTCCCCCCTCTCCACAGCACCTGGCCCTGCCTCTGCCTCCCCTTTCTCCACCGCCTCTCCACCCCTTTCACTCGCTTGTTTATTTTGGTTCCACGCGGAGCGGGGCAAAAGCGGAACTATCAGCTCAGCTGCTTCTGCTAGTCGGCTAGTCGGCTGACAACAGTCTATTTACACTGGCTAATTGCTAATTAATTTATCTTCACTTTGTTTCCACTTTTCGGATCAGATCGCGAGTCCGATAAGCTCATGGCGATCGATGGGCAAAAGCTGGCCAGCTGGAGCTTTTGGAGCGCCAGTCATCGGTGGGGGACTTGTTGGTATTTTTTGGGGCCAGTTATCGGTTGGGGCTGCGGTATTTTATGCGTGTTGGGGCACATTTAAAACCTGGCGCTTTCACCTTGCCCTCTGAAAGCTTTCAAGAGATGGCGCTCCAAAATTTGTACGGCCTCCTTTTGGTGCTAGAAAAGTCTTTACATACAGATATGGAAATCAATTTAAAATAAAAAACTTCGTAAAAAAATTCCTTATTTACTTAGGTAGATTTTACTGTGTTGCATTTGAAAAAATTTTTTTTTTTAAGATTTATGCGTTGCGGAATGGTCTTAAAGTTTCCCTATAAATTACTCATACGACACGTATGACAGTTATAATTAAATGGAATAAATCGTTCTCCGAATTCTTACCATTTCAAATTAAGAATCGGGTTTTAAATAGTGGGAGTATTAAAACACTTGCTTAGTAGAAATCTTTGCCACATAGATTAAAATAATTTTTTGATCAAAGACAACAGTGCGTATGAGTGATAAACTATGAAGCAAATTTGCAAAACCATAAATTTATATTTTATTATTGAAATGCAAGTTCTTAATAAAAAATGTTTTGCTTATAAAAGCTTTATTGAAACACGAGTTTAATTTAATCTGATATCCGCAGGTGAAGCTAAAAATATTTGGGAAACATCCAACAGAATAAATCTGAAATAAAACTAAAACAAAATGGCAAGTTGTTATAGTTGTTATCCATTTTATTTTGCCTGTACATAATGATAAAAGTTCCATTCTGACAGATAGGTACTTACTTCTTTGCGAATGGAACAATATTTCTCCACAGAAGTAAACTGGCGACCCTGTTCTAAGAATAAGAAATTTCTAACCATTCCGCCTACTCGTAAATAATAGTCAAAAGTCCACTTGTAAATTCAGTTTATTTTCATTTGATTTTTCTTTGTTGTTGCTGTGGTTGATGCCTGCACTTCAACGCTTTTTCAATTTCAGTTACAAATACTGAGATATACTTACTACACAGGTGACACAAATTGATTTATCGCTTGTATGGCTTTTGTTTGACTTTTTCTTTCGATTCAACTTTTTTTGCTTGATGAATAAAACGCTGAAGGCGTTCAAATGTATTTTTAAATATATTTGTTTTGCATTTTTCATGGTTTATTTTTGTAATTTTCGTTTTTCGGTTGGCTTTGCTTCTTGCATTTTGCATTGCCAGCAACAATTAACAGTAAAAGTTGATTCCTTGCACACAAGTTGAAGTATTACCTGTTTTTGTTTGATTTCCGTTGTTAATTTATTTAATGTTGATTTACTTGGATAAGCCTTTTACATTATTTATTTATGTACCTACTTGGTATTTACTCATTTGGTTTGGTTTGTTGTTCTATTTACAATACATCTGCATGTGTGTGGTTCTGTTGTATGTGTCTTTCTTTGTGTTTCGTTACGTTTTTTCTTTTTACTTGTAAATAATTGCTCAAACTGGATTGGGCACCAAAAGTCTCTCGTTCAAAGGCTAAAAAGTTTGATTTTTTCTCGAGAAATAATTTTGTTACTCATTAATTTATTCATGCTGCGTGTTTGTGTTTAACCTGTGTCATTATTCATTATTCATTGGTATTTTGCCCTAAAACGTTACGAGTATTTCAATTACATCAATTTACTTGCTTCGATTGTAGTTGGTTGTATAATAATTCAGCTTACATTTTTACACTTAGCTAGCCGTAATTACACACATTAGTTGTATTGTTTCCATTAGTTTTCCTTTACCTCCGCTCAGTTAATATCCCGCTTTCGTTTGTTAGTTTAAGCATGCAGTTAAATCAATTATGCGAACCTAGTAAATATTCTTCGCCCCTCTTGTTAAATGCAATCACTAAGTACAATGTGTGGCTTGATTGTTTATATTTAGTTTCCTTTGCGGTTTCCTTGCGTAAATTTGAATGCGTTTAGCCTCGATGACCTGGAGGTCGAATACGAAATTGATTCCTAGACCGAAATGCAAGTCTTACAAATCTGAATGAGGTGTGTGAGTCCTTGTCTTTGACGTACTTGCATTGCATTTAACAACGATCCGATTAAATGTATAAGTTTACAATTTATTGAGCTAATTTAAAGCTTTCCTTTTCTTTTCGTCCTGCCCATCGTTGAACTTTTCCTTCCCCGCTTGCCAACAGCAAATAAATAGAAATACTAGAAAATACTAAGAAAAGAAATTGTTTGGAAATTCTAGTACAAATTAAATATTTTGGCATAGTGTTGCAACTAAACAATACTTTTTGATTAATTTTATTTAGATGGCTCACACGAATGGAAAACAAAAAGATTTTAGCAAAAGATAGATCTCAAACTGGTATTTATATAACAGACATGCAGGTGAGTATACAAAAGCTAGCTTTGTGGATACAAAATAATATTCTTATCTGCGGATCTCACATTAATTTAACGCCAGAATCCAAAAACCTATTAAATTGCCTTTGTGCATTCGGGCGAAAACTGGGAAACATTTGCGATGTAAAATACATTTCCGGATAATTGTTAATTGGGCAGAGAGATGAGTTGGGCGGACAGGGAAGTTCGTTCACAACTTTGTATTCAAGCTTTCAACGCTCCGTTTGGCTGAAACCGATAGAAGTTTGCTTTAAGCTAAATTTTGTCGTTAAACTTTGCAACTGAGTTAGCACAGGTTCGTAAAATTATTCATTTGGTAAAGGCTGGGCAATCAATTCGACCTCTTTTCGGCTGCTTGACCACAAATTAATTGTAACATTGAACACCTAAAAAAACATTTAACATTTAGCTTAGTTTCACTTAGTTTAAATCCATTTAAAAATTAATTCGACAACAAGCTCGTTTTGCACTTAAGTAACAGTTTCACATCGATCCGCTAATTATCTAACTCTTCCTTGTTGCTATTATTAAATTGTTTATTAATTTACGCTACGCCACATTAGGATTTTCTGGGTTTTCATTGGCACAAGTTGTTATTCCAAGTACGAGTAAATCTATTGAATGTTTCTCTGCTGCCCTTTCTCTTTTACAATTATTGTTAGCCTATGAAAATCGTATTTTTACTCAAAATGTTTCTTGGAATACTTGATACTTGTGCTTGCGCTCATCCTCTAACTCTTCTCCAACGTCTTCTAAGAGATACAAAAACTTTTCTGTTGTTTATTGCTATTAACATTTACTTAGGAGTACTTTTCAGTTAACAACTTAGCTTCAGACGTAACTATTGACCAACTTTCTCCGCTCGCCAGCTGCCCAGTCGACGCCATTCAGGATGGGAGTTTTCGGGTGGGGATAACCAAAGGGGGAATGCTCGCTAAAGAAAAATTGAAACCATTTGGCTAATCAACTGAACAATCGAAACCTTTCGCTTAATTGCTCCTTCCAGTTGGCGTCGTCCTGCAGCCTCAACTAGAACACATCCTAAGCACAATAATTACAGGACAATCAGGTTCGTTCTGGTAAACAATTTCGTCATCAAATTTTCAGTTGTAAAATCATAAATTTTTATATGTAAGTGAATTTTTTTGTAAATTTAAAATTGTTGAATAATTCTCTGGTGATTTAAAACCACCTGAAAATATGCCTTAAATATACTGTGAAAAATAGTACAAACTTATTTTGTTTTTTGGGCTTTTTAGACGCATTTTCGGAGAATAAAAATTTTGGGTTTTATTTTTCTAAATTGTTTGTGGCCGATTTTGAACACCAGAACGTTCCCGATCTAACATTTAAAATGCCATCGAAGTAACTCTATAAACAACGCTTTAACTATTGACTAAACTTCATCACTTTTGATTTTCTTCGACCACTGACTGTATTTCATATTCTGGTTTGCTCTAAGTGGAGTCTACCTCTCAGTTAGATATAAAACAAGTGATTTCCGCTCGGGCAGACTTAACTACAATTAGCATTAACTTTAGCTTTAGCCGAGCACTTCGGAGTGCTCCATCCTCATTTAGTTTTTAGTTAACAATTTCTTTTGCTTCGATTTCTTGTATTCTTTGTTATTCTTTGTAGCTTTTGTGCGCATAACTTTGACGGGGGGCGGGGGCAAAAAAGGAGTTGGGGGATTGCAGGACGAAGGGGGCAGAAGGGTCCTTCGGCTTCCTGCCACAAACTTGTTCGTCTTGTTGCCAACCGCTGGCATTTCCAGCTCGCGCTGACATCTCATCCGGTCGCATCTGGTGCAGCGGTGTCGCTTCCTTCCTTCCGCTCAAGGGACGACGTGCAGCTGCATCTCCTGCATCTGCTGGCGCTGCAGATTCAATTCGGTGCGGTTCCTCATCATCCAGGTGCGCTCCAGATTCTCGCGGATGTTCCGCTCGTTCTCCTGTCGCACTGTCAACGATAGAGATCGGTGTAAATGATTTTGGATTGCATAAGTTGGAATGAAAGGCATTCGTGCACGAAGGTCTTTTGATACTTAAGATATATTTTATTATATATTTAAAAGAAAAGTTAAAATTATCGCTCATTAACTAAAGTCAAGAAAACCTTTGAAAAGATATACATTCTGTATGCAAGTAATGATTTTTAGCTAGTCAGATTTTTGGTTTATGAGCAATAACTTTTTTACTGGCCCCTATTTTTCAATAACTCTAATGGAACAAGTTTATAGGCAAACAAGTAAACTAGAATACATGTAAAAATTCACTGCGCACTCGTTATTTTCCTGTTGAATTTCGTTCAAACTGCAGTTGAAGTAAATGCCTGTTGATGAATTCTCGAATGCAACTTTCATCAATCCAGACTATTTACTTTAAACACAGTCCAACATTGTACATTCTCCGTTGTTATTTTTTGTATTTCCGTTTCCGCTGTTGCTTATCACGTTCGCATATGTGTACACATATCAAGTACATATCCCCCATTTCACACACGGTACTCGTTTTTTCGCACCCCAACCCAAACCAACCCCCCTTGAAAACCCCCTTGACATGAGCCCCTGCGATTGTCGTCGCGGTTGCTGTTTGCTCAACGCTTTTGTGCATTTTACAGCAGTTTTAATTAACGCTCAACAAACTGGAGATGGAAAACGGGAATGGGAATGAATGGCAAGGGGCGGTGAGTGGGGTTATTGGATGGACAAACATTGGTTGTTACCTGCCCCGTGGTGCTGTGTAAAGTGTCAAAATTTGTTTGCCAATCAATCACAAACATACACGCGGACACAGAGACAAGTCACAGTTGCCGTTTCAGTCACAGTTCGGTTATTTTTTGTTTGCCCGCATGCGAAACTTTAACTGTTGCATGCCCCTAAATGTTTAACTCCCTTGTTTTGTGTGTGTAATTTGATTGACTTGCCGGAAAAGCTGCTAATTCAGAGAGTTTCCATCGGTTCGAGCATATATTTGGCATTGCACAGTTTACAGTTTGCGCTCGGCTGAAATTTAATTAAAAAATTATTGCCCCAAATGGCCACCAAACAGACCGACGAACAACGCAAACAAAAACACAAGCACACACACACACATTCTGCTGCAAGGCTAGTGCAAAAATTTAAGTAATTTTCCCCTTTTTACGCTCTCATTTAATTGCAAAAATTAGTAATCCCATTTCCACCCGCAGCCAGCGACTTTAACGAGTGGAAGTGCAACCACGATGCAACATCACATCACACATCGTTGCTGCTGTTGCTGCCGCAGCTACTGTTGCTACTGCTGTCGTCATCAAATTCATATGCATATATGTGGGCCAAAGGCCACATGGCGGTTTCCAACGGCCCAGGCTGGCCAGGATATGTCCATCCATCCAGGCTCCGTTCCCATTTACCAGCTCGTGCCTTTGCATGGGCTATGAGGCGTAATCGCAACGTGTTAATGCCAAAGTGGAGGAGTGGCTGGGACCAGGTGACGATGCCTGCCATTATTCACTTGGCCAAGTGCCGTTTGCTGCTGGCTTTGTTGCTGCCCTGGTAAGTAGGAGCTACTCAGCACAATGCCTCCTCCATTTGCCCTGCTTTTGGGGCCCTCAAGTTAGCCAGCAGGTGAAGGGTGGATTTGGTTGCTTCTGGGGTAATATTTATTCGTAGATTAATAATCTTTTGTATGCAGAGAGTCTATGGGGCCCTGAGGAAAACTACATTACCTCAACTTTGTTTTTTTTAATAAAATGTACTTTAATTGGAAATAAGAACGGCTATTTGACCTGAGTTAAATGTTAAAACGTAGAAAATAAAGACTTTTAAATATCCAAAGATTGTCCGACTTTAATCATTAATGTAATGCCTATTACACAAAGTATCCTTGGTTACAGGACATTGCCTAGTTGATCAGGTCCTCAAGGACGTGGCTGAGCCCTGTGCGTGCCCAGTTCCTGGAGCCGCTCACGTGCGCCTGTGTGTGCGAGAGGCTATACGAGACCAATTAACATATAACTTTCCCACCGGTAAACAAGTTAAATTGTTAACAGCCATTATGGGCGCTCATAAATGCTGCCGAGTAACTTTGAGCCTGCCTCCTCAGTCCCCCCGGCCTGCCCACACTTTCCGTTCAGTTGCCTGCTCTGTCTGCCGGGCGCTTTGTCTTTCATGTTGTTTAATTATAAATGTGGCGTTGAAAGCAAAAGGCCCCCGTCCTCTGCTCTGCTCCTGCCTCAGATTCTGTGTCCTGGCCGTCACGCCAGTTTGCCTGACGGATGGCGACCGACGCCTAATTAGCAGCCTGGGAATGGAACTGACTCTGGTTCTGGTTGTGGCTCTGGGGATTGTATTGCATCTATTGTACCTTCAAATTGAATTTATTGATGCACTTTTGTTGCCTCCGCTGTCTGGTCCGCCTGTGGCATTAGCTTTTTTCTCCCTTTTGTGATTTAACTAGAGCATGATGGAGATGCAACATGCAACAGATTTGCCTTCGTAATGAAAAGCTTGTTGAAACAACTCGTCCATTATTGCTTTCAATTATGAATATCACAATAGGAACTACGTCAAGTGTAAATAATAACTGAGCGAAATGAGAGTGCGCTGAGAAGTGGTGTTTCAAACAAAGTGGCGCCCAACTTGGGGCCTCTGGATCAAAAGGTTTCTGTTGAAGGCTGCTGTTAAACTTTTCGATTAGGGCTTAGGATGCAAGTTAATCGCACTCCGGGGAAAGGATCTAAAAGATGTATTTTCTGCATCCTATCTCCAATAAGTTTGCACCTTGAGCAGTTTGATAAAGCGGTTTCCGCTACAGTTTGCAGTTGAACTTTAAGATAAGAGAGAAATAACTTTCTGGCTGGATTCTTCCTGACCTCAAACTTTCTTCTTGCGCTAACTGTCAATTTGTCGCATTTTTTATGTGTAAGCTGCAACTTGCTAGTGGGCTTGGCAATTTGGGGACTTTAGCGGTCACACGGGACATTCGGCTTGGGCAAGGCCATCGGGCAATGTCACTAGCATGAGTTGCTTATGTTGCTGCGACTGCATCTGCAGCTGCCTTATAACAAACAATTGTTGTTAGTTTATATTTATATTTTTTTTGTCGCTGCTTCTGCCGTTGTTATCGCTCTTGTTGCCGCACTTTCCCTTTTCTGACGCTCACTGAGGCGCAGTTGAAAAAGTAACCTAGTTTCCATGTCGTCAACGTGAAATTAAGGCTATGAGTGTGAGCGTGCCTCCTGTCTGTGGGCACACGCACACATAATAAAAAGGAAACCAAGCGTACCGTGCCGTAATGATGCTGCACACCCACACACACACGTTAACAAACAAAACTATTAAGCGAGTGTATAAAAAAAGAGCAGGATAACCAAGGAAAAGGTCTCCGCAGGCCTTGGCTGCTCAGTCTGCCAGTCTGTCTGTCTGTCTGTCTGTCGGTCAGTTAGTCACCCGCTGCCACCCACTGAGAGTCGGTTAAGCATTGTTTGTCCTCGGCTAAATAACACTCACACACACCGGCACACGCACACTCTAAACATCTACACCCACTCGCACTCGCACACGCACACACGTGCTGATTAGTTTGGCTTTGCGGCAAGAAGATGCTGCGGCTTCTGATGCAGTCAAAGTCATTAAAGTCATGGTAAGTAAGTACAGCATCATTTTTTATGGCCGTGTGCGTGTTTGCCTGGCAGGTTAGTCAGTTAGTCAGTTATGTAATGCTCGAGATTTTGCTGAGCTTTTGCCAGCTCAATATTTGAAAATTCCTTCCCCAGCTACTGCGTCGTGTGTGTGTTTGCTTGTTTGCTTTTGTTTGAGTTCGGTGTTTGGGGAGAGGGAGTGGGAGCGTTTGGTTTGGTGGACAGAAGGGAGCTGGAGCTGACACACATATTTGTATTTGCACAGTTTTATGGTCTGTAAGGACATATGGCAATATGGCCACACTGACTGTGGTCCTTTAAGCCCGATAATGGACCCAAGCTGACCTCGTTTATTGATTTGCATCGTTGGGGCAGAGATGGAATGCAGTTTAAGGAATTTTTTATTTTGGCTCAAGTATTTGTGGAAAATAATTGGAATAACATTCATTTATTTTTAACAAGAAAAAGCGGCAGTCTGCAGAGAATTTCGATTGTTGATGTCTGATTGATAGTAGGTCTCTGCTGAATAGAAATAGTTTCTGCACTGGGTTCTTACAAATTGGCGCCCAACGTGGGGCCCTTGCTCTAAACACTCATTTTCCTACAAATCACAAGAGTTACGATGTCTTTAAACCAACAATCGAAGCCCTCTACGCTTTGTGCCTTCTGCAAATCGAGCAGCATCCATTCTACTTTCGGAAACTCACACCCAAGGCCTTTCCTACTTACAGACTCTTCGATAGTTGCTGCATCTCCTCCACTGGCTCCTCTCCCTCAATCCTTAGTCGTCAGATGAGCAGTCCGGGGCAACCAGAGACCCGGAGACTCAGAGGAAACAAAACGTAGAGCGGAACGACAGCACGGAATCGAAGCGGAAGCGAAAACGCAAACGTTAACGAAATCGAGTCCAAAGTCAGGGGATAACCAGCTGGCAGGTGGGTGGTGAATGGGCCGAAGCACAGCCTCTGCGTTGGAGTTCATGAGGGCCGCATGCCCGTCCAGTGGACGGGGGTGTCCCTGCTGAACGAATGCGCCTTCTTTCCGCCCTGGCCGGAGCTGGAGGTCAGCGTGATGGTCAGCACGAAAACGCTGGCGCACACCAGGCACAAGAGGACCGTCGACAGGACAATGCAGACGATCCGCTTGCGCTTGCGATCCGCCGCCTCGTCCTCGTCGGTCTCATCGCTCAGCGACTTTTTCTTCAGCTTGTGCGAGCCCCCCGTAACGGAGCCCTTCCTTCCGGCGGCCAGTTTGTGATGAAAGGGCCTCAGCACCTGGGCAGCAAAGGCGGCATCGCTCAGCTCGTGGTCGTACGTCAGCGATGATTTCCGCTCGAAGCTCGGACGCTTCTCCTCGATGAAGGCAGCCGCCGCCGCCGAGGCGGAAATGGCTCGCGGACTCCTCTTGATCTCCTCGATGCTGGACCCAGGCACAACTGTGGATAGCGGGCGACTGTTGCGTCGGTGGGGGGAGCTCAGCTCAAAGTCGTCGCCCGCCTGCGGACCGCTCCCTGCGCTGGCGTCGCCAATAAAGCTCTTGGACTTCTTGGAGGCGCTCAAAGTCTCCCGATAGCTGCGCAGCCGCACGCTGGCGCTGTGCAGGGCCTTGGCCTGCTTCACGCTGGCACTGGCGTTGGTGCCCTGGAAGGCCGCTGCTGCCGCCAGAACACCTGGCCGGTGGACGGCCAGCTCCTCCAGATTGCTGGGCGACAGGTAGAGCGAGCGACCGTGCTGGGCGCCCCGCTTGAAGTGGTACGCCGCATTGGCCGCCGCCGCCGCACTGTGCAGCTGCTGCAGGCCATGGCCGCCCGCTGCAGCGGCCGCCGCTGCTGCTGCCGCCGAGGTCGAGGGACGTCCGTCGAGCTCCAGGCTGTGTGTGCTAACCTGGCGTGTGTGCGGGTGGTGCGACTCCCTCTTCTGCTTAACGCTATTCGCTGCTGAAGGCGGGTGGGTGGCGCTGTGGCCGGCGGCGGCATCCTCAAAGGAGCCCGCTCCGGAGTGCTTGCGCAGTCGCTGCACGGCCACAGCGGCGGCGGTGATCTCCGCCAGGCCGAGCTCCTCCATCTTGGTGTGACTGTTGCTGCGCGAACGCGTGTCGACGAACAGCTCGTTCTCCAGCGACAGATTGGTGGGGGCCGCAAACAAGTTCCGTCCGTTCATCGGCTCCATCAGGTCGTCGTTCAGCGATGGGTGCCGTATCTGCGACTCCACCACCGAATCGGGCTTAACGCTGGGCCTTCGAGCCGGATCATTGAACGATCGGTGCGACCGACAGCCCCTGCGGCTGGGCGACGGCGAACGGGATATCTCTTTGGCGCCCCCGGGTGGACCGGGCATTAGAAAGTTGCCCCTCACCGAACTGGTGCGACGACTCGAAGCACCCGAGCCTGCGGCAACGGCCAGCTGTATTTGGTCCAGGGCGGCGGGATCCTGTTGCGCGTGGAAGGAATGCGTTTTCTTCATCTGAAAATTGGTAGACGGATGGACGTCAATGGTGTCGGATCGCCGGAACAGGTTCTTCTTCAGCATTGGGCGCTGTTGCGGGGGGGCAATCGTCGGATTCGGTGGCATATCGTCCATGTCAATGAACTGAATGGGCGATGTGCTCCCACCCAACGATCGTCCCATTCCCATTCCCAGTTGCCCCATTCCCATGCCCATGCTGCCCATGCCCATGCTGCCCACACCGACACCATCGCCCAGGCTGCTGCTGCTGCTGACCAGGTAAATGTCCGGCTGCTGGCGGTGCTGCTGGCCCAGCACCGGGCTAACCGCGTGTGAGGTTGGTGAGCTCTTCGAGTGCGCATGCTGATGCGGATGCGGATGTTGAAGCTGATGTGGATGCGGATGTTGCGGATGTTGGCGGTGCGATTGTGAATGCTGCTGGTGGGTTGTTTGATGCCTGGCAGCAGCTGCCTGTGCGGCCAGTTGCTGAAAAGTGTGCAAGTGCAACTGATGTTGCTGTTGTTGTTGGTGTTGTTGTTGTTGTTGTTGTTGCTGGTGGTGTAGCTGTTGTTGTTGTTGTTGTTGTTGGAGGAGGTGATGGTGTTGCTGGCGGGCAGATAGGGCTGGCGATACGGAACCACTCCCACCACCACGCTGGCTGGGATGGGCTAGAATATGTTGCTGTTGCTGTTGTTGCTGTTGTTGTGCAGGGATTGCTAGGGTCTGCGGGGGTAGGGCGCCGGATCGGGGATGGGGCAGGGGCGAGGCCGAGCGGTGGATCAGCGGCTTCTCACTGATGACAATACCCTCGCCCTCCATATCCATCTCCATATCCAGGTCCATGTCCATGCCCATCTCCATGCCCATTTCCATGTCCAGATCCATGTCGAGATTCCCGGAAGACGGTGCATAATTGTCGATGGCCATGGACAGGGATCGGTGGATGGGCTTCAGCTTGGGCGGTTTCTTTTTGGTGGCGGGATTGTCAAAGGACGAGGTGCCCGACGTGTGCTCCTCGTCCGCCCCGCCGACGGTCAAATAGGGATCGAAGCTGTGCACCGCGACGACATGTTGGTGGTGTCGCTGCTGTTGCTGCTGGTGGTGCGACTGCTGTTGGTGGTGCGACGACTGTTGCTGCTGCTGGTGGTGGTGCGACGACTGTTGCTGGTGCTGCTGCTGCTGACCACCGCTGGTGCCGCGCTCCATGCGGTAGTAGTACTGCCGGGGATATCTATGGTAGTAATGTGCAATTGTGGTGCTGGTATGTGGTTATGTGGAGTGGATCAATCGGGGGAGCTATCGGGAGCTACCAGGAGGCTATGGGTTGGCTAGGGTTGTTCACTCTGACCTGTCAGCCCCAGAGAGATCGGTGGTTCAGGTGGTTCAGCTGGCAATCGCAGTGTTGCAGGTTGCAGATTGCAGATTGCAGGTTGCAGGTGTTGCAGTTCTGTATCTTTTATTTGATTTTCTATGTGCTATGTGCTGAATGCTGGATTGCTCTAGGTGGTGCTACACCGATCGTGGTTCGGAGGGTGGGGGGAGGTGGCTGGAAGGATACACACACACACACATATGGATATACACACAGCGAGAGCTTAAAGGTGCAAGGACATTCGTGGACAAACTAGACAGGGAAGTTGCAAAAATACGCTTAAATTGGTTTTGTTATGTAATTTCTGCGGCTGCTTTGCGGATTTCTCTCTGCTTGTGCGTTTTTTTGGATTTTTTGGGTTTATTTTTTATCACTGTTTCTGCTCTTGTTGTTGTTGGTGTCTTTTTGGCTGTTTTGGCTGTTTCTCCTGGCTCATTTATGGCTACTTTTCGTCTAATGCGTGCAATTTAATTCCTTTTTAGCTTTCTTTCTAGCTGCTACTGCGCTCACTGTTTTTTATTGTCACATTGTGTACGTGCTTGTTGTTGTTTTTGTTTTATTTATTGCAATTCAAATGAGTTCTTGTTGTTGTTGTTTGACTTGATGATGATAATGATGGGATTTGCTATCTGGTTGTTGTTGTGGTTGTACAAAATGCTCTGTTCTTGTTGTTGTTGTGTTTTTTGTTGTTTGCTAAAGTTTTTGGTTTCTGTTTCTGTTTTCTGGATTTGGTTTTTGTTTTTTCTTGCTTGGTTTGCTTGCTACACTCATTAAAATTGGCAAATACAAAAGCACAACTAGAAGTAGAGAAGAGAGAAATTCGTAAAAAACGTATTAGCAAGCTGGGGACTGTGAGGGGGTGGTGAGTGGGTGGCGGGAGGAGGGTGATTGGTTGTGATGTTGTGTGGTGTTTGTGCCATGTGCAGAGTAAGTGATGGAAAACAGCCTCAAAATGTAAGAGAACAAGAGGAAGGAGACCGAAAGCGAATCGAATAAAAGCTAAAGTGGAAGAAAATAAGGAAAAATACGCCACGGATTTTCCTAATTGAGCCGAGTCAAGCTCTAATTAATGAGTCATTGAGAATGCTCCATTGAGCCCAAGAGTTCTTTATGGTTTTTTAAAAACTTCCTTTCAATTTAAGTAATTTTTTTTTTAAGAGAAATTTAAAAAAATCAGTCAAGTGCTTAAGTTAAAGCACCATATTTTTAAACATTCCCTTATTATTACCCTTTGAATAAATTAAACTTTTAATAATTTTCTTTTTTAATTAACCATAAGTGAACAAAGTAAAGTGTAATCTGTGTAACGTTTCAAAAGCAAACATTTGTAAACTTTAGTTAAGCGAAAAACTCCAGTTCGACATAGTTTTTAATACATTTCCAAACAGATAATTAATTCAGTTAGGTCCTGCCGTTTGGGACATGCACTTAATCGCCCCCAGAGTTTCGTTGAAACTTTTTTCATACATTTTTAAAACGATAATCCCCTTAGTTTTTGGCCTCGCTGCCGAATGGCTTTACAACCTTTTGCGATTGCTGTCCCGTAAGTCGATCACGTAGCGGACTCGTTGTCGGGTAATGTAGCATAATCAAATTTAATCTATGAAACTGCCCTCGTAGCCGCAAATTCCCAATTCGGCCACATCAAATCCCCCAACCCACTCCCAACTCGTTTACCTCGGCAACTCTTTGGCCAACACAATTCATCATTCAGCTATACCTTTGGCAGGCCACGAGCCGAGGAATTGTAACGTTTTGCATAATTTAAAACGACAGGCCACAGCCAGCCACTTCCCTGTTTCCATTTCCACATCCACTTTCACATCCCAGTCGGGACCACTAGCAAAAAAGGCTTCGTGAAGCGAAAGTCCTTTGCCACTGTCACTCAGAGTGTTAATTTTTCAGAGCTCATTGATGGATGAGCGCGTCGGTTGACATTTATGTACGATGCCGGCCTAGACTTGCACAAATGATGCCAGCTAGCGGCCCGTTAAAAATTAACGCCATCAGCTTGGCTTGGCCACACTTAACCCCATCCCATCCCCTCACTTGAGGCTCTGGCAACCAAAACGAGTTAAACATATTAAAATTTGCTTATGCAAAAAAGGTTGAGAGGTCCCAAATTCTCCGGAGACACTTAACATCACGTACTTTAAATATGTTTAACGCAGCTTAAGTGGAATGAAAAGCGCCAGGATATGCGGCACACATAAGCAAAGCCCCAGAATTGCCTCAATGTTTCCTTCTGCCTTTGCTTCTGTTTCTGTAACCATATGCCATTGTCAATGGCAACCTCTGTTAGTGGCATTATGTCACAAGTTCCTGGAAGTATCGGGCTGCGGCTGGGAAGGAGCCAAGCCGGCCTATCGAGTGTCTTAGTCGCTCCCTTTGTGCAGCGACACTTGCCACATTTCTCCTTCGAGGGCTTTTGTGTCACAATTTTGTGAGACGGATTCCTGGCTGGGCTTGGGCCTGGATTTAATTTCAAAATCGTGTTCGGGGTCAGCGGATCAACTGTGATATGCTACGTAATCCTAAACATGCTGGGTGAAAGGTGAAAGATGAAAGCTGATTTACTGTGCTTAGTAATGAAGTGATATTTTTGGTTAATAAATAATTTATAGGATTTTTCTCATTACTTTCTTAACATTTTACTAGATATTTAAAGCTTAATATATGATACTTTACTTTATCATACTTTATTAACCAGTTATGGGCAACCCCAACTGACTACTTAGGCTTATCAAAATCGTACCTATGTTTAAGACGCCTCACCCTTTTCCCAAGTATTTGACCCTATTAAGATGTCTGTTGCCACCTCGTTGGGCGCGAGCCCCTATTAATTTCCCGTTTCTTTCGCCCAAGTTAATACAATTTGTATCCCCTTTCGCCCCTTTGATTCCGTTCGCCCTAATTGACATAAACAATACTTAATTAACATAAAACTAACATTCCCGACCCGATGGCAAACCCAATTTAAACAGCCATACGTGCGTAATTAAGTCCGCCCTTGGCGTGCCACGCCCCCAGTATCTCCAAGTGGTTTTATGCCAGAGGATGAGGAGGAGGCGGAGCAGGAGCAGGAGCAGGATCAGGAGGAGGAGGCATTATGGCCGGGGGACTTCTGCCCGCGCTAGTGTGAAAATCAAAGTGGCATTAAACGCACGCCCACGCACTTGGTCAGAATTCGGTTGGATATCTGGTTTGTTCGTTGGCTGGTTGGTTGACTGCCTGCCCGAAAAGGGGGCGTGGCAGTAAGTGCGACCAATTAATTCCTCCGGTTTCTGGCGGCTACGGTTGTCGTAAACAACCGACGCGATTGCCGCCAGCCAAGACAACAGATGTCACTTAATATTATTAAATCTGTGCGTTTGTCTGTGCACCGTGTTTGCCTTAAATCTTTTTTGGCCATAAATGTATTTGCACAAGGACGACTCAACGTGCCGTTTGCTGGGATGTGAGTGAGTGAGTAATCCGATTAAATGACGAAAATTATGCCAGGGAATGCAGTCTTCGTCGGCAAAGCTCGATGTCCTCGAAAGCGATGAAGGGGCTGAAACCTTCGCCTCGCATCCCATTCGGCACAATTAAAATTCCCCTGCTGATTTCATTTCTCACACACACACATATCTCACAGCAGGCCATGGGCAAACGTTTATTTTATCCTTTGAAAAGTTACACGGATAATTATCATTCGCCGCCGAGAAGGATGCTCTAATCGTAATCTCCAAAGAGATTCCATCGCATTGAGAAGTGTTTCCAAGAGATTGCCGCGGATTAACATATTTCGGGGAACTTGAGCTGCTTAAGTGCATTGCATTGCATTTAGGCCCCATTAACACTCAGAGTGCCAGAAATAGCCATAAGATGATTAAATAGAAATAACGCCTGGCCATTTGCAAATGCAGTTGCAGGGGGTTTGGCAAAGCCCACTCAATCTGCTTTTAGTGTGATATTGATTTATTTCCTAATAAAACTACCTGGCTGTGGCTCTTATTTTGCCATATGTGGAATTAAAGCTCACATGAAATGGGAATATTTTGCCCCAACAGCTTTTTTTGAATATCTCCTATCCGTTTGGATTTTTAATACCATTTACTCGTAGAGCAAGAGGGTATATTAAATTAGTGCAAAAGTATGTAACAGATAGGAGGAAGGAATCTAGCCATGTCCGTTTGTCCGTATGAGCGCTGATATCTCGAAAACTATAAAAGCTAGAAAGTTGGGATTTTAAAAATGTATCAAATCGGACCATTCATTAAAGAGTTTTGAGCAAATATTGGAACTCAAGCAATACAAGCAGTCGCTTTGCTGCACTCATGTCTTCATCGCCCTTGCACTTCCTTTAGCTGAGTAACGGGTATCTGATAGTCGAGGTACTCGATCTTGTTTTTTCAGGGCACGTCTTACTTGGTATTTACAATCCATAACCATAAAATGCTTTAATGTTTCGGCGAACTACTACTGGCGAGAACACATTTCGCTCATTCTTTTAGCAAGTCAGCAGCTCCTTCCGCTCCGAGTGAAAGCAGCGCCTGCAGTTATGCAATATTATTTTAAAGCAAATTCCACTTTCACAATGCAGCACACTCCCTTTTCGTGTGTTTCTGTTGTTTTCCCTTCCAGCTGCCAACATTTCTCGGTGGCTGCTGTCAGCGGCAAATGCAAAAGCCAAAGTCGAACGGAATGCCCGTTAGTCGGGGCGTTTCGGACTCTCAGTTTAATTTGAATTGTTTGCGGATGGCAAGCATTTTTAGTGCTACTAAGAGCACGAGCATGACCACGCCCTGTCCATAATCTTATTAAGTGCGCTTAGTTCCTTAATAAACAATCGTAAAAACTTTCGAAACCCTGGCGAGTGCAGCCAAGAGTCCTGTATTTCAGCCACATTATTTCCGCTTATCCCTCACCGAACAGAGAGGGCAAATCTAAACGAGAAATTACGAACTCACACACACAGAGTTTAAGAACTCAACTTTTGTGACGGGCGATGCAGAGA